GAGCCAATATGTATGTTGACCATCGTACACCATATATTTTGATCATTTAATGGAGTTTACTATGTGCCAGAGACTTTAAATTCTTCAACAGGAAAGCCTACGGGGCACGGGCCTGAAGGCCGACCCGTCTGGAGGCCAAAGGTATCCCGCTGGAGAAACAGAGGTTGTGCTGAGTCCAGCTGGGCAAGAAAGGGAAAATATCACAGCCCGGCCCCCGTGATGGTTGCGTGAATGGAGGACAGTGATGAAGTTCTGGTTGTTGGTTTGGTCACCAAGTTCCGGCTGCTGGCGACAGCCGGGGGGCAGCTCGAGGACTGTCAGAGGAGGCGCGCCCGCCTCGGGCTTCTGTAGAGCAAGGTGAGAAGGTGACTTGCTTCGCTGGTGAAAATGTTGTAGAGCAACCCCGATACAAAACAGGGTGCCTGACTGTGGGTCCTCACCCGCGCGCTTTAAAGGACTTATCAATGCTCTACTGCAGGCCCAACTCCACCCTCAGGTCCCAGCCACCCTCCCTTGGTGGTGATGGGATTTGTCTTTCCCAATGTCTTGATGGCTTTGGTCTGGAGTGGGGGTGGGATCCACAAAGCCTGTATGGGATTAGCTCAGGACATCCTTTCCCCCTAACAAAAACACAGTACTGGATTTCCATACGCAAGAAAAAATCTTGTAACTGTCCTACATGTGGGACCATCACTGTCCCCCAAATTTAAAACAGCCCCCCTCCATGCTGCTGGGGGAATGCCGTGACTGTGAGGACAGTGGGTCCCAGAGCTGGGCTGTGCCCGAACCACCTCTGCCCTGGGGGCAGGGCCGGGGAGGAAGGTGGGCCTCGTGGAGGGAGCAAGGACCGAGGCGTCCCAGACCTCCATGTAGGGCCCCAAGGTTAAGGGAGAAAACAGATATTGTGACATGAATTATTTTCTCAAGAAAAAACTCCAAGGAAAAAAACCTCATGGTTCCTGCATGGATCCTTCACTGAGTCACTCACTGAGGGCCCCTGGGCTGGCGCTTGGATCAGCCGCGGAGGTCCTGGGGAGCAGAGGGCGCTCACTCACCCCCAAGCCAGGTGCCTCCAGGCAGACCCCCTGCAGGGGACAGGGCAGGAGCCAGCTGCTTGCCACGGAGGGGGTGAGGGGGAAACGTGGAGGAGGAAGGCGCAAAAGATGAAGAGGTTGTCCCGGGCCAAGGGCCAGCAGGGCCACCAAAGACTGCTGCTGAGATGGCGCTTTCAGCGCACACGCCATGAGGTCAGGCCCTCCCCCGTCCTCACCGCCTCTCCCCAGCCTCGCCGCCTCCAGGAGGCTCCGCTCAACTCCCTGAAGTTGAGCCTCAGATGTGTGCGGCTTCAAGCGTGAACGTGCATGTGTGTGGGCTGTTGCGATCAGAAAGAAATCTCAAGCCCAATCTCGCCACCCGCTGCTTCCCCTTTACCTGGGGATTTGCAAGCTCCAAAGGCCACGAAACTGAAAGACACCTAAGGCGGGGGGGGGGCCAGGCAAACCCACCAAGGGGTGCGAAGCGGCCACACGAGCAGCATGGGCCTCTGCCGGAGCCCCAGGTGTGCTGGGAGGCGGGCCCTGGCGCCCTCCTGCGCTGGTCTGGGGGCGCTGGCTGGGCCTGGCTTCCCGAACTGCTTCTGGCTCCGGGCTAGACCACAGGCCCAGCCACGCAGCCCCCGGCCTCCCACACGGCGCTCCCCTTGGTGGCGGGGCTCCCCCGCAGCCGGCCTGTGCAGAGCCAGGACCAGGACGGAGACCCCCGGGCAGAGGACAAGGCGGGGACAGAGCTGACCTTCAGGTGCCCCCGGATGGCCCAGCCTTCCTGCGCTTGTAAAATCCACCGGCTCCCCACCTGCCTCCGGGGCCCAGCCCTCCCCGCCCCACGCACACGAGGTGGTTAGCCACCGCAGTCACGGGCGCACAGGTAATTAGCCGTGGGATCCTCTCATCTGCGGAAGGAACCAGTAAGCAAACACGCCAGCTCCCCCACAGGCAGCCGCGGGGGGCCAGGGCTCTGACCCAAGACCTTTGTGGGGGGAAACAATCCAAGGGGAGAAGGTCTGGGAGTCTTCGGAGCCCAGCCGAGCAGAGGCCACCCCGGGGAGCCCCTCAACAAGGCAGCCCAGCGCCAGCCCCCAGGGCCCGGAGGGCCTCTGCGTCATGCTGGGGGAAGGGCGCCCGCCTTCTGGGGGGTGGGGCTGAGTGGGGCGGCGCCGGCAGGCTGGGGACCCTGCAGAGGGGAGCGACTGTCGGAGGGGGGCGGTGGCCCTCCCTGCCCCTCCGGGCTCTCTGTGTTTTAACAGCAGTTTCCTGAGGACAAGACGCCTCGGCCAGGAGAAAACCACTCTTCCCTTCCTGAAACCCCTCGCCTCCACCCGGCGCCCTGGGCCCCCAGGCAGGCGCCCCCAGGCAGAGTGTGCTGCGCAGGCGGCAGCCGTGACTGGCCGTTCTCTGGCCCCGGCCCGGCCTCCTGTCTTTGGCTACAGAGCCAGGCCCGGCTCCGCCGGGTTCAATCTGGGCTGTCTCGGAGCGAAGTGAAAGCTCCGGCGGCCCGTTCCCGGAGGGGCCCTCTCCGGAGCGCGTGACCGCTCAGTGCCTCGCCCGTCAGAGCCTGAAAGCAGCTTCCCATTTGGCAGGACGTGGGGGGTTACTTGGGGGGAACTTTACTGGGGACACGCTTACCGTTGATTTACGTGGGTTTGCCGGGCATTCCCAGGCCACCGCACTGGCTCCAGGACGCTCGTTGTTCCAGAAAGTCACCAGGCCGCGCACGGCCTCCGGGTCTCCCGCCTCCCTGCCCGGCCCGGCCCGGCCCGGCCGCCCCCGTCTCCACAGACGTGCCCACGCGGGACAGTTCACGGACACGGAACCATGAATTAGGTGGCCCGGGCGACCTGGCTGACGTCACTCGGCGTGAGGGTTTTCAACGTCACGATGTGGCGCTCGGGAGGGCGCCGCTGGCCGGCCGGGGTCGCGGGGCAGATCCGTCTACACACAGGGAGCTGGGGGAGGCGTGCGGGACCAGGGAGTTAGAAGTGGCTTGTTTCTGCCAGGGCTGCCTCCCCGCAGGGGGTGAGGAGAGGCTCTGCCCCATTAGGCAGATTACCTCATTAGCCGTAATCAAGAAATTCCACGCTGATTAGTTTAAAATTCCACTCTTGGGAGAGGTGAAAACTGCAATTAGGTTGGGTATTAATTAAGTTTGGGTTTGCTGACGTGGGGCTTAGCACAAGCGACTCCATCTTGGCCCTGCTGTGTCCTCAAACACGCTTTCTCCCGAGGACTGTTCTCTCCAGGTCCAGAGTGCGGGAAGCAGGCGGCGCCTGCCAGTTCAGGCCAACCCTGGACATGCTGAGGGGTGGCCCCCGCGCCCTCGCCGCTGCCCTGGCCGGGAACACCAACATTCTGCTGAGCCTTCAAGGCTTCTTCCTTCGTGCACGCACTCAGCTACCAGCCAGACGCTGTCCCCCGGGCTGTGCGGGAACACGCAGGCCAAACCCTTGTCCACGTGGAGCTCAAGGGCCAGCGAGGACACGAGCCGGGTCACATCGTGTGCTTTCGCCACGGGCGCTCCTGGCCAGGGAGGCCGAGCTCTGCTGTGACCAGCCCCTCCAGAGTCCGCAGCATGGAGGCAATGGCTGTGAGGCACTTAGCGGCTCGCTGGCTGGGAACAGGCAGGGGAGCCATCATGGGCGGGATCTCGGGCTCCGTTAGGGGGTTGAGATGATGGTCACTGGGCAGGGCCGCCCACCCCCACTGTCCCGAGTTCCCTCCACTCAGGAGCCTGCGGCCGTGGGCTCCCGCCCTAACTCCCTCCCCGGCAGGGGTCCAGGGTGCCCAGGGGCTGAGTGGCCGCTGGCCAGTCCGCAGGCCCGGCTGCGTCCATTACCAGGAGTACCTGGATAAACCACCAGGCTTCTGGGGCCTCTGGAGTAAGGGGGAGCGGGGGGCTCCTGGAGGGGCCGGGTCCAGCAGGGTGCTGCTGGGGGCTCAGGGGGCCTCTGGCCCCAGGGGCTTCCTGCTCGGAAACCAGGTTTCTGTCCCCACCCGCAGCTTGAGCGCCTCACGGGCCCCGCTCGGCTGGTTAGGCTGGAGCAGCTCGCGGAGGGCTCTGGGGGGCCTGGTGGCTGGACACCTGCTCTGGCAGTGATTGCTGTGGTAAAAGAAGGGGCAGCCTGTGACCCCCAACCAGGAGTCCTTGGGGACTTAAATCACTGGGTTCAGAAGGAGGGGGGTGTCTCCAGGAGGCTGGGGACCTTCAGGCCACCTGCAGCGCCCTCCTGCTCCCCACAATCCCCAAGCCCAAGGGTTAAGGGCGATGGGCTGGGGCTCCCAAGCTTAGGGGGGTCTTTTGGAGGTCGGGCCGGGTCACGGGGAGGGCAGGGAGCCAGGGAGGGGCTACCGGCCCGCAGGGGGAGAACTGGTGAGGGGGAGCCCACGGGGTAGCCCCGCACGCAGTGGGGGGCGGGGGGCTGGGGTTGAAGGTACAGGAGAAGCCGGACGAGGGGAACGCGGGCCTCAGGGCAGCCGGCTCTAGGGCGCAGGGAGACTCGGGGGCAGAGACAGGGGGCGGGCGGGGCGCGGGGGCCAGCCGGGGTGCGGGGGCGGGCCAGCGAGGTCCGCGGGGGCGGGCCAGCGAGGTCCGCGGGGGCGGGGCGGGGCGCGCGGGGGGCAGGCGGGGCGGGGCGCGCGGGGCGGGCGGGGCGGGCGGGGCGCGGGGCGGGGCGGGCGGGGCGCGGGGCGGGGCGGGCGGGGCGCGGGGCGGGGCGGGCGGGGCGCGCGGGGCGGGGCGGGGCGGGCGGGGCGCGGGGCGCGCGGGGCGGGGCGGGGCGCGCGGGGCGGGCGGGGCGCGCGGGGCGGGCGGGGCGGGCGGGGCGGCGGGGCGGGGCGCGGGGGGCGGGGCGGGGCGCGGGGGGGGCGGGGGCGGGGGGGGGGCGGGGCGGGGCGCGCGGGGCGGGGCGGGGCGCGCGGGCGGGCGGGGCGCGCGGTACTTAGGCGCGGGCGGCGCGGGGCTCGGGGCGCGGCGGGTGTCTGCGGAGCGCGGTGAGTGCGGCTGCGGGGCGCGCGGCGGCGGGGTGCGGGCCGGGGCCCCCGGGTCTCCCCGCGTTCGGGCCGGCGGGCCGGGGCGCGGCCTGCGGGAGGAGCGGGCGCCGCGACCTTGGGCGGCCGGGCCTGCGCCGTCCCCGGAGTCCCGGGAGCGCCGGGCCGGAAACGGGCCTGGAACTGGGTGGAGCCCCGGAGCGGGACGCGCGGAGGGGAGGGGGGTCCGCCGCGGCCCCCGGCCTGCCCCCCCTGCGCAGCGGGCCGCGCTCGCCGGCGGTGCTGCAGAGCCGCGCGGGGCGCCCCCCGGCACCCCCTGCTCGGCCCATGGCCCTGGGGACCGGGAGTCCGGGAGCCGCGGGGCTCGCAGGCCCGGGCGGGGAGGGGCCGGGCAGGCGCGAGCCGGGCTTGCCCGCCCCGGCACCAGGTGCCACAGGCCTGCGCCGGCCCCGCGGGCCTCTCGCGGGGCTCAGAGGGAGGCCTGGCTGTGTCACCTGGAAAACCTGATCCTCAGGTGCCGCCCCTGAGGCCAGCGCAGCCCGTGACTCAGGCGAGGGGGGCGCAGCGGCCAGGCTCCCCGGGCCGGCGCCCCCCTCGCGGCGCCTCCCCCCTGGAGGCCCTTCCCGGGCAGCGGCCCCGAGGAGGGGCCGCCCCACCCGGGAGGTTGACGGTGCCCCCGAGGAGGAGCCTCCTGGGCATCTGTCCCGCACGGGGTGCTGCCAGGCGCAGAGAGCCCCTGGGCCTGGGCGGCCGCAGGCGCCGACTCCTTCCCCGATGTGGGTCGGGTCAGGGTGCGGGGCGTGTTTTGGCCCAGGACAGGCTGCACCTGCTCTTCAGACCTGTTCCCAGCGCCCCCAGGCTCAGGGTCTTCCTCCCTGGTGCTGGAGTCAGGTGGGACGTCGCGTGGTAGGGGTGAGGCCATTCCGCGTGCCCCTCGGCCCTGAGGTGGAGGGGTGAGCACTTTGAGGGGAGCCTTGGCTATTGGGTGACTTTCTTAGATGTGGGAACAAGTGTGGCTGTGTCGGTGGCCCCATCCTTGCGAGAGAAGGACCGAAATACTTTAGGGATGAGGACTCAGCTCTGCCATCTGTTCTTGGCATAAAGAAAGTTCTAGAAGGATGAGGAGTTGAACTATACAAAGAGGGAATTTTTGTAGGATCCAAATTGGGGACTTTCACATGACTCAGCCCTGCGTGGCGCGGGCGGGCGGGCGGGCGGGCGGGCGGGGGGAGAGCCTGGGCTGCTGGAGGTGTCGCTCACCTGCTGCACCTGAGTCTCCCTGCAGCCGGGCCCTGCTCCCGCAGCCTCCTGGGAAAGCACGTGGGAGGTGGCTCCTGAGTCCAGCCTTGCTAGGGAGGGGCTTGCAAGGATCAAACGCTGTCATCTGTTTAAACTTTAACCAGCCCCATCTTTAGCCTCAGCCTGCACCCACTCCCTCTGCACAGCACCCCAAGTCTCAGGCCGCGGTGGGGTTAGCGGGCAGCAGGGATCTTGGCCTGCAGGTTCCTTCTGCTCCGCTCTCCCTCCTCACTGCTGGGGTGGGGCGGCCCCGCGGTGCTCTGGCCGAGTCATGGCCACCTCGCCCGCTCCCACTGCTGCGGAGCCGGGCGATGGCACTGCAGGCCCGAGTTCTCGCTGTGCACGTACAGCGTGTGGCTGCTGAGGGCCAGGCTGGCTCTTTCCTGTCACTGCCACTGGGTGCTTAGCGTGACTGCCCTGTGCCACGGAGGTGGGGGCCGGTCCCCTGCCAGGGCTCCCTGCTGCTGGCTCCCTCCCGCCCCTGAGGGGTCCCCAGCCTGTGCCCCAGCACCCACTGCCCTGGCTAGTTGGGGCCTGCGTTTCTTGCCATCTGATGGGTCTGGATGGCGCCTGCGTTTTCTTTTTCATGACTAGGAATTGCAACTTAATTGTCTGCCCCAGGAAGGCCTCTCTGTTGCTCCTGCTGGTGTCACATGGTCTGGTCTGAGCAGCTGGGGCTTGCCGGGCAGCTGGGGCTGTCCCCCTAGGTCTCTGCCCCCCCCCCCCCCCGGGACTATTTCCTAACGCCTGTGGGTGGGGACTGGCTGGCCGACTCTACTTGCAGGCGAGAAAGCTGAGGGTCCCCCTGGTTGTGACGTGGTCTCGGTCACCTGGCCCAGCCTCCCCCAGGCCTCCTGCCACGCCCCTTCCCCTCAGCTGTTCAGGCCTCTCCTCAGGCCTGCTTCCTCCTCACCTGCTGGGAAGCAGACGCCGCAGACAAGCCTGGGTTACTGTCTTGTGAGTGCTGGGCCAGGAGGGGGAAGAGGCCTTGGCCTGTTATCTGTCCAGACCAGGCCAGTCACTTCATCATCAAGATAAGGGGGCGCTACCCACAGGCTGGGGGGCAGACACCCAAGACAGCAAGCCGACACGTGAGAACTCCTAGACTTTCTGCCTGAGAGTCCCGGGGAGGCCGGGCTGCCCCCAACCCTCTGGCCTGCTGGCCTGACCTCGGGCAGGAGGTGTGCACAAGTCACCAGGCTTCCAGGTTTACGAAAGACCCGGGGGCGGTGCTGGTGCTCAGCCTGGCCGCCTCTCTGTCCACTTGGTCCTGCCGCTGCGCCGTCTGGGGCTGTGTCCTGGGGACAAAGCAGAGAGCGGCACTGCGGATTGGACTGCGGAAGAGACGGGCGTCTGAGGCCTTCCTTGTCTCCCCGGCCAGAATTTTTCCCAAATGAGGGTGTCCTTGTGAATAACAGGTGACCCAGCTGTCCCGGGGGCCTCCCTGCTGGCTGTGGGGGGGGTGCTGCGCCCCAGGCCATGCGGAGGGCACTTCGCAAGGGAGCCTCTCCTCAAGCCTCCAGCAGCCTGGGTAAGACTAGCATCTTGTTCCGGGCCCAGGACAACTGGGCACCGAGCCCGGGAGGCGAGGCCTTGCCGGAGCTGGCTTTGCGGCTGCCCAGGTTTCCCGTCACCCCATCCCCAGCTGGCGGGAGGGGGCATCCAGCCAGGACTGGCCTCGGGGAGCCGCGGTGTCCCTGCAACCACCAAACACTCGTGCCCTTCGCATCTCCAAGGACGAAAGCGGCTGCACAGAGGCCTGAGGGCCCGCAGCGCCTGGGTGGCACCGGGTTTCAAAGCTGAGTCGGGGTAGCGCCCCTGGCACCCCCCAACCCCCATCTTGTGTCTTAGCAGTAAGCAGCCGAGGGCCCTCGTGGGGCCACGGTCCCCAGCCGAAGGCGGCGCTCCTGTGGCAGCATGTGGGCTGCCCCGCCGTGGGCGGGGAGCTGGGCCCCGGGGCCTCTTGGGCAGGCTGGCTCTGCTGGCTCTGGGGGTGAGTCACGGGTCTGGACAGACGCGGCAGGTGGCGGGCACGGGGGACACACCTGTGAGTGCCGCGCGTGCGGGTGGGTGGCGCGTGCCCCTGCTTCTGGGGCGCCTACAAGGCTGGGCGCCTTTTCCACTCATGCTGCAGCCTCTGGGGGCCCAGCCCCGGGGAGTCCCCTGCCACAGACTCAGGTGCCCATCGGGGAGCAGCTCTGGAGGAGCCCTCTTTGTCTCGGTTCCCAGACCCCCGTGCTGCCCGCCCCCCTTGTTCTCTGCACTGTCAAGGCCCGGAGCAGAGGCCGGCGAGCGTGTCCGCGAGGAACGCGGGCTGACGCAGGAGACCCTCGCTGGGGTTCAGGCTGGAGAGGTTGGGTCTGCTCGGGCCCATCCGAGTGTGACTGAGGTCCTCCCTGTGTGCGGTGGCCCGGCCCCACCAGGCTGGGGGTGTCGAGGCCTGCGCTGCCCACACCGACCGCAGCCAGAGGCTGGTCAGGCTTTCAGGAGAGGCGCCTCTCCACCCGCGGTGCTGGCTGCCAGCCACGCCCTTCCTCGTGACCGGCTGCCGGAGGCCCTGTGGCCATGGGGAAGCTTTTTTCTTTCTTACCGTTTTTTGTTTTAAAAACGCGTGGAAGCAGCAGCCCCCTGGCATCACAAAGCTGCTGGATGCTCTGCAAAGTGCTTCTGGAAAGCGCAGGCCGGAACCTGCGGGGTGCCCTGGGGGTGGAGGTGAGGGCCTGCCCCTCTCCCTGCTCACCCAGCTCCTTCAGAGCCCTGGCTCCCCGGGCAGCTCTGGGGCACGGGGCGTGGGGGCGGGGTGCTGGTGGGTGCTCTGAGGACCACCTGCCCGCAGGCTCTGCTGATTGCGTTAAGGTTTTGGAGGGAAGAAATGGGCCTTGGGCTCGTCGTGCTGGCGGAGGGGCAGGGGCCGGTCCACGCAGGAAGTCCAGTGGACCTGGCCTGGGGGGACACCCGCCCCCTGCGCTGTGTGACCCCACCCCACCCCGGCCGCACTCAGGGGCTGGGCTGCCAGTATTCGTGCTTCTGAAACACTTCCTGTGCCTCTTCTGCTGATTCTGGGGAAGACACAGAATTAAGAAATGAAAGGGAAGTGCTGGCGGCGGGAGGGGAAGTGAGAGCCGGCTGCCAGCTTGCTGACGCCCCCGCCTCTGCTGTCAGGGTCTGTCCCCTCTCAGAGGAGAAATTTGACTTGGGGTTCTCGAGTCTCGGGGCCCTCCGGGTGGTTAGCTGAGGTTAAGGCTTCCGTTTTAATCCAGACCCTTCTCTGGGCTGTGGATATTGTGCACAGAGCCGGAGCGAACTGGAATTACTGGAGAGGGCAGGGGGCGTGCAGGTGGAGCCTGCCCAGGGAGAGCCCCTCCTGCTCCCTCCCCACTGTGTACAGGCCCCGCCCACGCCCACCCCACCCCACCCCAGCGCTGGGTGACAAGGGGAAGAGGTCGGTAGGAAACGTGGGGGGACCCGTGGAGCAAGGAAGGGGGTCTTCGAGGTCTCAGGGCTGGGGGACCGTGTGGGGGCTGATTCTGGGGAGGGGTGAGGACTCTGTGCTCTGCCACCACAGAACCCAGAGGTCTTGTTGGCAGGGGGGGCTTGCTGTGACCTCCCAGCCCAGCGGGGCTGGGCCCCGGGCCTGGGTCTCCTGCTGCGCACACGGGGCCCCAGCTGTCACCCTGGACAGCCACAGGGGGTGGAGGGCGCCTTGGGGCGGGGTGGTCAGCCAGCCCCCGCTCTTCACGGGAGGGCCTCCCCTTTCGGAAGCACGTTCAGACGCCAAGTGTGAGACAGGGTGTCGGTCAACGCTGAACCCGCTGCCCCCTCCCTGCCCAGGACGCGTCTGCCTGACGGTGGACGGCTGGGTCTTGGCGAGCTGGGCCCCGACGTGGTCTTGGCGGGCAGGTGAAGTGTTGGGGTGACAGTCTCTGGGGAGTCAGTGTTACAGGGCCAACCCCAATATAAAATGGGGTTGCCCGACTGGGTCCTCCCCGCGCGCTTAAAGGGCCTCCTGAATGCGAAACGGCGGCCACTCGCGAGGATGCCGAGAGGCTTATTCACAAGGGCAGGGAAAGCGGGGACGTGAGTAACTCAGGGAGAAAAAGAGGGGGATCGGTGCATAAATGCGTCCTGCCCGAGCTGGTGAAACCCTAGCAGGCCTCGTGGCCGGGCCCATGACCCGCTCGGCGCCCAAACCCAGAGCCTAGGTGCCTTCCTCCGCCCAGGTCGGCGCAGCCTTCCCTCGGGGGCTGCTGGGAGTTGCAGCTCCCCGCGCCGTGGGGTGGCGTCCACAAAGCCTGTGTGGAGTCGGCTCAGGACATCTTTCCCCCCATCGGAAGCCCCCTGGTGTCTGAGGAGTCTGGAGTGGGTTTGGGGCTATTACACAAGTTGTGCGTGGATTTGGGGGCTTGGGGTGTTCGGCAGCGTAGCTGGTGTCCTTCCTGAAAGAAGGGGAGCGGGGGCTGGACTCGTGCTCTTGTTCTGCACCAGGCCCCCCCCCCCCCCCCCCCCCCCCCCCCCCCCCGTTCACCGCTTAGCCGGCTGCGTGCTCAGGGCCTGGGGCTGACGGTTTGTCGCGTCTGGAGCCCGTCTGGGCCGGCTGCTGGTCAGCGGGGGCCGGCAGAGAGCCCAGGTTTGTGCCGGCGGCGGACCCCGTGGGCTGCCCGGCCGGCCCGGGCCTGGCTGGTCTGGGACAGGCACCTCGGCCGCCGGCGTGGCCTGCAGGAGCTGTCGCCCGACACCGACACCGGCCACTCGTGGCTCTTTCTGAGACGCACTGTCTGTCTGTCTGTTCGGGCTGCTTCTGTTCTCCTGATGACCCCCCAGTTTAAAAGGCGGGGCCTGCTGGGGAAAGGACAAAGGCGAAGAGCGGCCTGTGAGGTCACGGCAGGGGAGCGGCTGCTGCTCTGATTTTAGAGCCTTTGGACCCCAGGGGAGCAGGCGTAGGTGCCCCTGAGCCGGTGTCACCAGCTCGTCGCCCTTTTGTTTTAGAGGCTTTTGGGTGTCAGGTTGTTTCCATCGCCTCAGCCCCTCGCATCCTGCAGCGTCCAGTGTCGGCTGCTTAAACGCGCGTTTATCCTCCTCATGGCGCCTCTGGCCCTCCCTGGCAGGTCTGCTGCCCGCGGCTCGTGCTGGGACCCAGGCGAAGGACTCAGCTGCTTGCCCCGAACCGCTCTGGTGGAGCTGCACCTTCGCCGGGCCGCGGGCGTGGGCAGGCCGGGGCGTGCTCTCCTGACCCCACAGGCCAGGCTCCTCTGCGAGCTGGGGAGGCCGGAGCCGGGTGGGGCCAGGGTGATCTGGAGGGGCCTGTGCGGGCCCAGGGCACCTCCTGGGGTCTCTGTGATGAGGGTGTGACCCACTGTGACCTACCCCCGCCCCAAGGTCCCTCCTCCAACATCCTCACACGGGTAGGGTTTCAGCTTGGATTTGTGGGAGGCACATTCAAGCCACACCGTGGTCCTGTGTGTTGTGGGCCTCGCGCAAGAGGAAGCTGAGGCACAGGGAGACTGGCCGAGCCGGGGTGAGGGCCTGGGCCTCCTGCCTGAGGGGTTTCCTGGCCCCAGGGCGGCACTGCCCAGCAGGGCACCTGCGAGAGCCTAGGGAGGTGCCTCCTGACATCTGTCCCCACCTTTCCAGGTGAATCCAGGATCCAGACCCCAAAATGTGGCGACTCTTGGCGGCTCTCAGCTGCCTGCTGGTGCTGGCCGGCGCCCGGAGCCGGTCCGACTTCCAGCCCTTGTCGGATGAGCTGGTCAACTACGTGAACAAACGTAACACCACGTGGCAGGTGAGCTGTGGGGCCGCTCCTGGGGCCAGCTGTGCCCCTGCTCCCCGGGGAAGTGGCCGCAGCTGTGACCGCAGGACGTCTGTCCTGGCGCCAGCCCCCTCCCTGTGGGGGCGGTGAGGGCGTGTGTGATTGGGGTGTGCCCTGGCCTGGGACTGTGGGGCCAGGAGCGGGGAGGGAGCAGCCACTGCAGGCCTCAGTGGGTCTCCTGAGAGCACTGCGGCCTGTCCAAGCTGGTCCCCCGCGGGCCCTGCCTGCCACCCCACCCCCTGGGTCCCTGAGGCGGGTGGGCCCAGGCGTCCTTGGGCCCGCGTGGGTGACCGAGGGGCTGGGTCTCTTCCAGGCAGGACACAACTTCCGCAACGCGCACCTGAGCTATGTGAGGAAGCTGTGTGGCACCTTGCTGGGCGGGCCCAAGCTGCCCCAGAGGTGAGTGCCCCACTGCAGCCACCTGGGCCCTGCTGCTGCCACCGCCGTTGGGGCAGGGACCCAGGAGTCCAGTTCCGGGGAGAGCCCCAGACAAGCATCTGATTGTTCCAGAAAGGCCTGCAGTGCACGCTTGCCCCGGAGGCAGCTGTTGGGCGGCCGCCCGGGAGGATGGGCTGCACACAGTAGGGCCACAGTGCCGTGGGGAGCCTGGCCGGCGTTTGCAGTGGGGAAACAGACGACCTGGACCCTGAAGCAGCCCAGGAATTAGTCCAGCAGAACGGGGTTTTGCTTTACAAACTCCCGGGGCCTCCCTGCGTGTCCCTCACGCCTTCTAGCAGCCTTCTCAGGGGCTGGCCTTGGCTGGAGGGAGGTGAGATCTGTGTGTAATGAACCCCCCTCCCCCAGAGTGCAGCTCGCTGAGGACGTGGTTCTGCCCGAGAGCTTCGACGCCAGGGTACACTGGCCCAACTGCCCCACCATCGCCGAGATCCGCGACCAGGGATCCTGCGGGTCCTGCTGGGTGAGCCCTGTGCTGGGGGCGGGGGGGTTGCCTGGGGCCAGGACAGCTGGGGCCCGGCCAATCTGGGCTCCCTGTGGCTGTGAGTGGTGGGGACGAGTGGAGGGACAGGCCCGAGTGTGGCTTGTGAGGCCTGCTGGCCAGTCCCTCAGGTTTCAGCCTGACCCAGTTTCCCCACAAGCTTGCTTCTGAGTGTGGGGTGCGCGGCACTGGCGGCCAGTCTGCGAGGCCAGGGCCTGTGCCCAGCACGTGTCCAGGCGGAGGCTGGGCCCCTGGCCCACGCAGTGGGTCCAGTGAGGAGCTTCTGGGCAGCCTCCTCACGGGCGGCCTCCTCCCTGCAGGCCTTTGGGGCTGTGGAAGCCATTTCTGACCGGATCTGCATCCGCACCAACGGGCACGTGAACGTGGAGGTGTCCGCCGAGGACTTGCTGACCTGCTGCGGCGAGAAGTGCGGGGAGGGGTGAGTCCCGGGCACAGGGGTGCTTCCAGTGGGGTGAGGGCCTCCGCAGAGGCGGCCTGGGCCCAACAGCTGGCCTGGCCCAGCCCTGCTTTGTGGGAGGCTCCTGAGACCAGGTCCAGGCTAGGGCGGGTGGACCAGAGGGTCTCAGACCCGCACTTCCGTTTCTGGGGTTGGGTTTTGTCATCCTGGTCCCCGGTTCTTGCTGCGGCCGCACGTCAGGAATACTGGGAGGCTTCTTGCAGAGCCAGCCTCCCTGTGGGCCCCGGGGAGACCAATCTGGAAAGCACCGCCTGGGCCCTCGTGGGAGGGGTTCCCTGGGAGGAGCCTCGGGCTGCGGCTGGAGGCCCCCAGCCCGGGGTCGGGGAGGGCTGGGCAGCGGGTGAGCAGCTGTTTCCTTAGCTGCAACGGGGGCTTCCCCTCGGGAGCGTGGAACTTCTGGACCAATCAAGGCCTGGTGTCCGGGGGCCTCTACGAGTCCCACATAGGTGAGTGTCCGCCCGTGGCCCGGGCCCGCGTCTGAGTCGTGGGACGTGCGGCCCCGTGTGAGGGTGGAGGGCAGGAGCGCCCGGGCACCGGCTCACAGCCCCGCCTCGCCCAGGCTGCAGACCCTACTCCATCCCTCCCTGTGAGCACCACGTGAACGGCTCCCGGCCCCCCTGCTCGGGGGAGGGAGGCAGCACCCCCAAGTGCAGCAAGATCTGCGAGCCTGGCTACAGCCCCGCGTACAAAGAGGACAAGCACTTCGGTAAGCGCCGGGAGGGAGAGGGGAGAGCCGCGGGATGGAGAAGGGCCCTGAACTCGCCTCAGAGCTGGCTTGGGGGGAGGTAGTCCAGAATCCCCCCTGGGGCGCAGCCAGCCCGGAACCCCCGTGGCCCAGGGCGCGCCTCACCCCCTGCCCCCGCAGGCTGCAGCTCCTACGGCGTGCCCAGCAGCGAGAAGGAGATCATGGCCGAGATCTACAAGAACGGCCCGGTGGAGGCGGCCTTCTCCGTGTACGCGGACTTCCTGATGTACAAGTCCGGTGCGTGCCCACCCCAGGGGCGCGGCAGGGTCTCGGTCACCTGACTCCCGCCCCCCCACCCCCCGGCCAGCCGCTGTCCCCCGGCAGCCCCCATCACCCCCGGGCCCACCGTGGGGCCCGTGGTTCTCTGGCGTGGCAGGCCCTGGCGGAAGGAACAGGGCGCCCGCGGTGCGTCCCGCCCGAGAGCCGGCCGTGCCCCTCCTGACGGGCAGCCGCACTGACAGCCCAGAGCCCCAGCTCTTAAAACACAGTCAATTATGACAAAACGCCCCCCCCCATTGGAAAATGGGGTGATGGGACGCCTGGTGGGCCAGCCCCAGAGCCAGCGTCCCCCCACGCTGGCCTGCCCCTGCCCAGGATGTCCTGAGCCAGTGTGCACCCCTCCAGCCAGGTCCTGGCATGGACGCCGGCCCGAAGTACCTCACGACATCTGACACGAAATACTTCCCAAACGTGGGGGGCCCCTGGGGCCTCTGCTGGAACACTGGGGCTCCACAGAACCCTGTTGGAACATGAGCCTGGCCCCTTAGTGGCGGGGCAGCTGGGGGTGCGTGGCGGGGCTCCGTCTGAGTGGCTGTCACTTGGCAGGAGTGTACCAGCACGTCACCGGCGAGATGATGGGGGGCCACGCCGTCCGCATCCTGGGCTGGGGGGTGGAGAACAACACCCCCTACTGGCTGGTTGGCAACTCCTGGAACACGGACTGGGGCGACAACGGTGAGTGGCAGCACCTTGGTGCTGGGCAGGGGGTGCTGTGAGCCAGAGCAGGGGTGCCCGGCCTCTCTGCTCTCCCCACGCAGCACCGGGTGCTCCCGGGGCTCAGCTGTGATGGTTCCTCAGCCCCGGGGCGGACACGGCCTTGGCTTGCTGGTGAGGCGCCTCCTTGTGGCCCCAGGTGGCCGGGGTCCAGCGGAGGCAGCGCCCAGGCCCCGTGTCGCGGAGCTGGCCACCTGGTCCCCGGAAGCGCCCGAGCCCCTCGCTGACTGCGGTGCGGGGCTTTTGGGGCTGCGCTGAGGGCTCCCGCTCTTTTCCAGGCTTCTTTAAGATCCTCCGCGGCCAGGACCACTGCGGCATCGAGTCGGAGATCGTGGCCGGCATCCCGTGCACTGACCAGTACTGGAACCAGATCTGAGGGCCGCCTGTGCCGCCAGCCCCGGCTCCTTCCTCGCTCGCCACCGGGGCTGGGCCCTTGGGGGGGCTTCTATTCCTCGAGTTCACATACACGAACAACAGGCTTGCGACGGCCTGAAGGACTGAGCCAGACCTCGCGTCCACCCTTCGGGCTGTCTTCCGAGGACACGCAGCCGAGGCAGCCGCCTCCAGCCCGGGCTCGCGAGCCCCGCTGCTCCCAGAGCCGGGCCTCCCCGTAGACTAGACCAGGACCCGCGCCGCCCGCCCCCGGGAGCATGGCAGACGGGGCTTGGACAGTGGGGTTCAGAGGCAAGGAGAGCGGGGTCCCCGCAAGACAGCCCCCACGGCTCCGGCAGCGCCCGGCCCGCAGCTTCCAGCTCCGGAGCGGGAGCCGCCCTGGCCCGCGCTAGCCCTCTCCGGCCTCGTCCTTGAGCTTCGACTCCGCCGCGGCCGCGCTCCAGACGGCCCCCGCCAGGCCTCGGCTTCCCGCCCCCGGCACCGCCGTGGGCCTGGCGTGGGAGAAGCCAACTCTGAGAATCACTGCTTCGCCCTGTAATTCAGCCCGGGAGAGAATGTGCCAATAAAAGGTTTCTCGGCCGCCGCGGCGCCTCTGTCCGCGCGTGATCGCAGGGGCCCGTGCCGGGGCGGCGGCTAGTACCCTCCTTCCCCAAAGACCCGTCCTCGGGGGTCTGGGAGCCCTGGGGACAGCTTGCCTCGAGCCGGGGTTCAAAGGGAACCCCAGTTCTAACTTCTGCAGCCAGGGCCTCCGTCTCCATTCCCTGCCCGGCCCAGGCCGGTGCTCACTGCGCTCCGCGGGGTGGCGGTGGCGGGGCTTTGGGTTCCTGCTGTGGCTTTAGCTTTTACTTCGCCAGTTGGAAACTGTTCCTTGGTGGCCCTGAGTTCAGGTGTCCACACCTTGACCCTGGCTCCCACAGAGACCGACTCCTTAGTGATAAATGAGCAGTTTCTGGGCAAAAACCTAAAAGCTGAACCACCCCCATACCACGTGGAGGCAGGGAGCCTCCCTGGGGTCACGGACCTGGGGGTCCACAGTCAGGAGGGGGCTCAGACCTGGGCCATCCTTGCTAAGTCTCACAAAGGCTTTGTACACACAGTGTGCACCCCAACTTAAAGCCCTGCACTTGAGACAAGTCCCCAAGACATTAGTTTTGAAAACCAGTGGGGCCCACGAGAGAGAACTGAGAACCAGCCCCTTCTCAAGGGCCCAGACGCCCCGGCGCAGCACTGCCGTGCCCGGGGTCTGAAATACTCAGTGGCTCGTAGCAGCGCGTCATCACGGGCAGGCATCTGATTCACACCTGAGGAGCCTACGGGGTCCTTCCCGGGCCAGGCAAGCGCCACCTCCACACTCCCGCTGCAGCCTGCCGGGGCCTCCCAAGGGCGCTCTGATGTAGCCGGCACCCAGGAGATGCTCTTGACTCTTGACCCCAGAGCACCCTGTGTCCCTAGGCCTGGCTGGCACCACCAGTGCACAAGCACTTTCTGTGAAAGAGGCCTCTGCTTGTCCTGGGGCTTTCTCCGAGGGCAGGCCTCCAAGGGCAGCACACAACACACATCCGGGGGCCTACGGAGGGCTTCTCGGAACAAATGCAGATGGACACAAACCTTGAGCTCTGCCTCCTTACAGCTTGCTGGCATCTCCCAGGAGGGAGCTATATGCTTGTCCGAGCCCAGTCTTTCGTGGTTGCCACCCAGGGGGCCCCGAGATCGCCAGTCTCTGGTACCAGTGTGGTCCCACAAGACAGCACATGGCCCACCCATGAAGCACAGCTGCCTGGGTGCCAAGAGCCCGACTCTAAGTCCTGGCTGAGGGCCTCCCTCTGGGACACTGGCAGGCCTCGTCACACCCGCAGCTACGGTAGCTGTAAAAGCAGGCCTCTTGGAAGGTCACAAAGGTGAGAAGCACCAAGAGCTCCATCTGGGCTGAAGGACAAGCCCTGTCGGCAAGAGGCCAACTCTCAACGCTGGGAGCGGCAGCGGTTTTACCCAATGCACGGAAACCAGTGTTCCAAAGCACATGACCAAACCTGAGGATTAAAGGTTGATTGATAGATTGGAGGGCAAGAGGATCCACCAGAGATAGAGCGGGGAGCAGAACAGGCAGACTGAAATCCACTGCTGAGGGGAGCAGCGGGCGCGACAGGAGAGGTCTGCGGCGCCATGTGGGACCCTCGCTGGCCGGCTGGGATGGAACCGGCGCTGCAGAGGCTGCGGACAGCTTCACAGCGCAGCGCTCAACCCGCCTGCGCCACCAGGGGTGGCCCAAACCTGAGGATTAAAACCCTTAATGGGAACCTCCCCAGTGGCACAAGGGGTTAAGTACCACACTATGAAGCTGTCCGCAGCCTCTGCAGCGTCCATCCCCGGCCCACCAGGGAGCAACCCACATGGCGCAGCAGACCGCTCCTGTCTCCCCGCTGTTCCCCTCAGCAGTGGATTTCAGCAGATCTGCCTGTTCTGTTCCCCGCTCTGTCTCTGATGAATCTTCTCACCCCCCCCCACACCTCTGGCCTGCACCCCAGCTCTTGTATAAATAAATAAATCTTTAAAAAAAACCTTAATGGAACAGAAGCGGTAACCTGTGACAACCTGTTCGAGAAGCCAAAGCAATGGTGAATAAGATCCTCACGGACGTCGAGAGAAGAATGGATGGACACAGTGACGTCAAGAAAGAGGGAAAAAAGTATAAGCGAGAACCAGAAGGAAACCCCGGAGCTGAAGAACGCAGTTCCTGAAAAACACGCCAGGGTTTTACAGCAGGCGCCATGAAGCAGAGACGGCCAGTGACATCAGACAAGCCACGATCAAAGCAGCACAAGAAGAAGGTGCAGCTGGCCTACAGGGTTGACGGCCGTCGACAGGCTAACGTGTGCATGAACGGAGGCCCCCCTGAAGAGAAGAGGAAGAACAAGGGGCAGAAGAAAGTTCCTTGGAATAATGGCTGAAGCTTCCTGAAGATTCCTACCCAGATCCAAAAGCCCAGAGATTTCAAAAAAAGATGAACCCAAAGATCTCCAGCACCAATTCATGTAAGTAAAATACCAAAAATTCAAGGCGAGGAGAGACTCTTAAGAATAACTGGTGAGGCAGCTTGTCACACACACGCGCGCGGGCCTTCCATTACACGACATCGCAGCAGCTCTGCAGGCCAGAAGGGAGTAGCACGATGTGGTGAAACTGCGAAGAGAAAAGCTCCCGAGCAATAACCCTGTACTTGGCACAATTACCCCTCCAGATCATAGGAGAGTTTCTCAGACGAGCAAATGCTAAGTTGCGCGTAACCACTAAAGTGGCTTTACAAGAAATACTAAAGAAACATCTTTAAACTTTGGTTGCTAAATACTACCTAGAAAATATCAAAGTATCAATCTCGCCAGTAAAAGGCATCATAAAATGCATAATGACCTGACAGTGTAAAGGCAGAAAGTCATCACAGGGCTCGTATGCAGGTTGAGATGAAAGTAGAACATAATTATAGCTTCAGAAAATACTTGTAAATTATATCTGATAAAGGGTCAATATTCAAAAATATATATATAAGCCATTCATGCAGCTCCATAGCAAAAAGATAACCTACTCAAAAAAGGGGAAGAAGATCTGATTAGGTAATTTTTCCAAAGACGACAGGCGGGCGGCTCACAGGAACCTCAGAGGTGCGCAGTCATCGCCGATCATCCGGGAACACAACCTGCAGCGAGCCGGCGCCCCACACCTGTTGGCGTGGACGGCCGTTGTCGAAAAGACAAGAAACAACAGGTGTGCTGGCGCGGCTGAGAAGAAAAGGGAGTCTTGTGAGCTGCTCTTGGGAATGAAAATTGGTGCAGCCGTTATGGAACACAGTATAGAGTTTCCTAAAAAACTAAAAATAGAACTTCCCTTTCATCCAGCAATTCAACTTCTGGGTATTTGCCCAAAGAAAACAGAAACACTAACTCAGAGGAGAGACACCCCCCTGTTCACTGCAGCATTATTCACAGCAGCCAAGGCAGGGACGGAGCCAGAGTCCACGGAGGGGAGAGCCGTGTGCGTCCAGAAGGGCGTATTCTCGGGCCACGGAACGCCGCCATCTCGCCCCTGGGGACAGCACGGCCGGCCCGGAGCGCGCTACTCCAGGTGCACCAAGTCGGAGAGAAAGAAACGCCCCGTGCCGCCACGTGGATGTGAACCCGCAAGCAGCAGCCCCCGAGAACAGACCCGCGCTTGCCGCAGGCCGGGGCGGGCAGGCCCAGCGCGGGAAGGCGTGGACATGTTCACGCGTCCAGTTAGGAAGTGGGCGCCGGGGGCTGCCGAACAGCCGGTGTGGGTGCTTATTACATATTTGAAGGTGGGGAAGAGTCCATCTCAAAAGCCCTCATCACAAGAAAAATAGCTCTCGCCGCCTTCCTGGGGTAACATAACGGCACAACATTGACCACAAACCCGCACCCACGGCGCGGCGGACCAGAAACCAGCGGTACGTGTCGGTTCCACCTCAACACCAGCAGCGGCCCAAGGAGGCCCGCGCGCCAGTGCAGGGCACCGCGGCCCGGGGCACGCCGCACCCCCCCACCGGCTGTTGGGCCGCCAGTTGTTTCCCTCCCCCGGCGGAGGGGAGGCTCCTTCCACAGCGACGCCGTCGTAGCAGCCAGAAGCTGCATCAAGTGCGCGCTGAGCTGCCCACGGAGCCCGTGAGAACCCCGCGGACGCTCTCACCACAGCGGGTAGAAGCTCTGAAGCTGGAAAAACCCGTGGCCCCTTCATCCTCCGCTGTCCGCCAGACACACTCACACCCCCACGCGGCCGCCGGCCCACGGCTCCCGGTCTGCGCCGAGTCCCTGCATCCCCACACTCCTCCCCGCTCCGAGGCACGACCCCCCTGCGCCGCACCCTCACCGGGAGCCCCAGCGACGCGCCGGCGAGGGCCGCGATGAACCCAGGCCCCTTCCCGCGTGGGCTAAGCCTTTGTGAGAAAACACACCGGAGGGCAACGCTCTTAATAACCCTACCCTGCCCCATGGCCGCCCCTCACCACCGCAGCTCCCTTCAGCGGTGGCCTCCCTGGGGCCTGCCCACCGGGGGGCGGCCTTGCAGCCTGCGGAGGCAGGCATTACCCGGGGAAGCTGACCCTCGCTCTGAGCAGAGGCAGGCAGTTGACACTCGCAATAATGCTGCGTCTCCGCCCTCAACCTGCATCTCCCGGCCTGGCACCTCCACCACCTGGAGTGTGTTAGAAATGCAGATTTGGGGGCGAGCTCTGAATGGGTGCTTGCACTTCAGGGAGACTCCAGGTAATTCATTCAAGTTTGAGGCATGGTGCCTTGTTGCTGCGGCTCTCAAACTGGTCTCCAGGCCAGCAGCTTTAAAAATACCACCTTTTGCCCCGAGTGGCCCTGGCCTCCCGAGGAAGCCTGTGGCCCCAGCGATCTGGGGCGTCAGGAGACCCTGCGCATGCTAGTTTGAGAACCACCGCTTTAGAGCTGCTTCCAAATCTGCGAAGGGTAACCTAGAGTGTGGCACCGACAAATGCCCAGCACCCCCCCACAGCACCCCCGCCCAGCCACCAGGCGTGGCTCCACAGATAGCAGGGGGCTTCCAAAGGAGGACGGTGTGCAGGTGCGACTTCTGGGACCTCCAGAAGGTTCCAAAATGTAACCAGCCAGCCTGCTTCTCCCTATTGCAGCTGAGTTCATGTTAAGCCTTAGGTTCAGATGAGTCAGCTTTTCAGGAGGAAAAAGTGGGAATCAAGTAAGACTCTATGGGGGCGGAGGGGGGGGTGCTGCTGCTAATTCATTACATTGAAAAGTGTGGAGGGTCAGGTTGCCACATTAGCAAATAAAAATAGAAGATGCCCCATTAAATTTGAATTTCAGGCCCTTCCTGGTGGCATAGGGGGGTTAAAGACAGTGCTATCAGGCTATCGCTGCCACTACAGCATGAGTTCAATTGCCGGCCAGCCAGGGAGCTACCCACATGGCGCAGCAGACCTCGCCTGTCTCCCCGCTGCTCCCCTCCGCAGTGTATTTCAGTGGATCCGCCTGTTCTGCTCCCCACTCTGCCTCTGGCGAATCTTCTCACCCCAAGTCTCTGGCCTGTACCCCAGTTCTTGTATGCATAAATAAATCTTTTTAAAAAAGGTATTAAAAAAAATAATTTGGGGCCTCCCCTGGTGGCGCAGCAGTTGAGCACTGGGTTGCGAGGCTGCCCACAGCTTCTGCAGCGCCAGTTCGATCCCCGGCCACCAGCGAGGGTCCCACAAAAAAAAAAAAAATTTGAATTTCAGGTAAGTGGTTTTTTTTTTAGCATAAATGCATCACGTGCAATATTTGGGACATGACTATAACTGAAAAGAGTTTGTCTGAAATTCAAGTCTGACTGGGCCCTGTGATGCTACAAGTGTGCAAGCCAGGGCCTTTGACCACGTCAGCCGTGGTAGAAATGACACAGCTTCGTAGCTGGGAGGGACCCTGGAGGTCAGCTCAACCCGCGGGGGCTCACAAAGGCCACAGGTTCTCGCTGAGCCAGGAGAGAAGCTTCTAGTACCTCCACCTTGGTGCAAGGCTCTCCCTTCAGGTCCCGTGTGAACGTTAGCAGAGGTCACCTTCATGCACACATTTTCAACAATTTACCTCAGACTCTCACACCAAGTTCAGATGCTACAGTTCCTTGGAAGACTGGAGAGCCTGGCTCGCCGCTGTGCTCGCAGCCAAGTCCTGTGGCTCCCGAGTGCTGACCAGTGGGTTCAGGACTGAGGTTCAGATGAGCCTGTAACTTGAAATCCGTGGACACAAGCTCAGTCAGCTGCTTGGGTGGTGCAGAGGCCACAGGAAAATCAGGGTGGGTGCGGTCATAACAATCAAGTCCAATGTTAACGCTGGAAGAATCCCAAATTCAAGCATCAGGTCATGCGCACCAAGGGCTGCAGCCAGACACCGTGTGCTGTGTGCCCTGGAGCGCCCATATTCTAGAAAGGACACTAGTGGCCGGGACAGGGCTTCTTAGCCTGAGGGGCTTAATCAAACATGCCTCTAGGGGTCTTGTCCTCTGGTCTGGCCGGAGAACTTCAGGGTGTCCCTGGCGCTGAGAGCACACCACAGATTGCCCCGTCCAGTGCTGGGCGTGGAGGAAGCAGTGCTCCCTCCTGTGCTGGGGAACGGGGGAGCCCCACCTGGCTTCCCACCATCACTTGGAAACATCACCTGCCTTTCTTTTTATTCAATTTTTTTTTGAACTTTTCAAAAAAGATTTTTTAAAAACTTTTTTGAAGAAGTCTGGTTTTTAAAAAAATCCTTAAAACTTCTGAATCAGCTGAGAATTAGCCCCAAGTCAAGAAGGCTGCGTGCCTGTGGTCAGCAGAGTCCGCTCTTGGACTCCCCAGGCTGGCTGTGTGGGGGCGGCAGCCAGACCCAGCGCTACCTCCACCCTTCAGCTGCCCACACCTGGCTCACCCAGGCTTCCCAGCAGACAGCAGCCACTCAGCTCCTGCCATGCAAGTCCTCTCACATACACCAGCCTTCGCTGGAGACCAACTAAGCAACGTAGACACGCGCCTGCTGTTTCAGAACACGACTCCTCGGAGGACCCAGCAGCGACACCCAGGCTCCCGCCGCGGCGCACGCCCAGAGTCAGGGCAGGAAAGAAAACCCAGAGAGAAACAGAAGCCCACAGAAGAGAATTTACTTCACATGTTCCCACCACAGGGACTCAAAGGTCGCTCCAGGTAAGTACATGTTAGCACAGCTCCAGCCAGCCTCTCCCAGGGAGCCTGCGGCCACAGGCCTGACAGAGGACACTGTCCTCCCAGCCCATCTTCCAGCCGCAGTGCTGCTGCCACAGTCCAAGTGCACAGTCTTTCAGGGGTTAAAACCAGAGTGGGTGGTGACGTCCACCCTGGAAGGCCATCCGCCCCCAGTGGCCAGCGTCCACGCCCCCGGTCAGTGCTCTCCGGTCTGCACGAAGTCTTCTGTGACCTGCGTCAGGGTGCTCAGGCACTGCCAGCTGAGCGCAGCCAAGAGCATGACGAACGACAGGTAGATAGGGGTGTAGTGGCTGCGGGAGACCAGCTGGCAGCTGGGCAGGTTGTGCGTCCGCACGGCGGAGATGATCTGTGTGGTTCTGCCGGAGGACGGGTCTTCGGCGGGGATCTTCTGGTAAATCTGCCAGGGAAGAGACGCGCCCGTAAGTGGTGCTTTATGCAGCCCCGGAGCATCGCCAGTGTGGCCCTGACAGCCGCGCTTGCCAGTGGGGTCGGCCTCTTGCGCACGTTCACGGAGGAGGAGACTGAGGCCAGAGAATAGTGGGGCACGGCCCAGAGCGGCCCCTCCCCCAGGCCGAGAAGCCCCAGAGCCTGTGCCTCCCCAGCGAGCGGGACGCCGAGCACATGCTGCCCGGAGTGCCGAGTCCCCATGCACCTCAGGAGCCCCTGGGGAGGCCACTGTCCCTGAGGGCCCAGGTGGGAGCTGGCGGGACCAAGCCGGGTGATGAGCTCGCCCTGGAGAGCCACGGGGAGGAGATCAGAGCGCCTCTGTGCCCTGAGGACAAGTGACAGTCACGTCGGGAGCCAGAGGGCGAAGCTGAGACAGGGACGCAGGCGGCCCGGACACACTGAGCCCAGGATCCACAGGGGCTGAGCGCCTAGTCAAGCTCAGTGCAGGGTAAGACAGGAGGCCATGCCAGGGAACAGGCTGCCCTGGCAGAGTCTTTGTGGCCCAAAACAAATCCAAGCCGCTGGCCAGCTGCCTGAGCGCACCCACCAGCAAGTGTCCAGGCCAGCTCTAGGCAGGGGCAGCTTCGCAATCAGAAAGCTCTGATGGGCACAGTCACCCGCCAGAGGAACACGGGGGTCACGACATGCTTCCCTCAAACATCAGAGCTGCAAGTGGGCGTCACCACCCGGCCAGGAAGCCCAGGAGCCATCAGAGCAGGTGAGCCCTGGTCTCGCTGCAAAGCACAGCCTGGTGGGAGGGGGCAGGCTCGCTGCCCTAGCAGGGACTTCACACCTAAAATTTGACCTGAAATTGTATTTACAAAATTTCAGCCAGTGCACAGAAAGCCTAAATCCACGTCTTTGAAGCCAACATGAAAATCACGGTCACGCTCTAATCCTTAAGGCTCAGAAACCTTCATCAATTTTTCTGAATTAAATCAACATAGCTATTAATAGTAAATAGGATTTCTTCCAAAATACCTTGAGTTTCACCAGAGAAGCAGGGCTCACTGGATCTACTTGGCTCTGCCCTGGATTGCACAAGCCCGAGACGGCACTAAGCAAACGTGGGGTTCTGATAAGCCAGAGGCACTTTGTGCATCCCCCACATCCCGGCCCCAAATCAGACTCGGAGGTAAAACTTCGATGTAATTCCAATAGTTAAACAAAATAAAGCCTGAATTGTAATAGAGCAATGAGCTGACCACAAAATGTTTACAGTTTTCTAAAATTAGTAATCAGAATAAAAGTGCAAAACCCAAAGTCTGAACAATAAACCACAGCAACCATTTCTAATTTGTATAAAACGGAGAAGCCGCGCCTAAACCACCCCCTTCCACTCAGAAAGGCTGTAAGTCAGCCCCTCAGAGCTATGGCAAACGACACAGGCTCTGAAGCCAGCCAGCCCTGGGTCCTAGTGATGGCTTGTGCCCTGGGGTCAGGGCCAGTGGCCTTGACCCTAACAGCACCCACCTCTGGGTGGCCACGCCAGCACACAGGACGCCCCCCAATCCATGCCAGTCACGTGGCAACTGGATCATCACGAGTCTTGCCTCAGCAACGGCTGAACCCTTCCGTGGAGTCACTAAAAGGATTTTAGTATTTTATACAACTCAGTCTTATCTTACACCTGTAGGTGCCTCAGGAAGAAATGCTGAGGGCAAACGTGCCAGAGAAGTGGGAAGGACAGGCAGAAGCGTGCAGAGTCCTGCCGTCACAGGTCACCTCTCTGTAAAGGCGCCACCAGGACTGGACTCTGGGCGGCAGGGCCCTCTGGGGCGTGGAGGTCTCTCTGCAGGATGTCAATCTTCGGCAACACTAGGCCCAAGGCTCTCTGCGCCGCCACGCACCAGATGACAGTAGCCAGCTCCGCCCAGTACTGGCCACCGAAACATCTGCAGATACTGCCAAGTGTCCCGCCTCAGGGCCCAGTGGTCAGCATACCGGACAATGGGAGGCCCTTGTGGGCCCAGTAGGGCATTAGGCCCCACACGCTCAGATCTGACTTGAGCAAGGTTTTTTTTAATTTGGCATTTGAAATGAGATTTGCAGAAGAAAATTTAGAAGTTACTGCGACTCGATGGTGTTCCTTTGCCAGGACACCACACTATAACTCTTCCAGTGAGGCATGTGGGGTGAGGGAAGGTTCCGGACTTGAGTCTGAGACCCATGTGGGCAGGCGCTCCACGGCACTCAAGAGCCTGAGCCACACATGCCCCTCCAGGGAGACAAGCAGCCAGCAGCCTTTCACATCACCCTCCAGCTCAGAAACGGGCCCGCGCCAGCACTCACGCCAGCCCAGGGTCCCGCTGACCCCTCTCCTCTCACGGCTCCTGGGCAGGTGCTTGTTCCTAGCAAGGCACCCCAGCCTGCCCTCTGTGCCCTACACAGTGTGAGCCTAGGAGCGCCTGACACCCAAACAGGAAAGGCCTCACCGGGGATGCCGCCGACACGCGCAGAGGCGAGCGCCACCCACCTCCTGCATGTACTGGTGCAGGATGGCCTTCACAGCCGGCATGTTGGTGGCGTCCAGCATGAGGGTCACCGCCTGCCCTTTGCGGATCTTCACCACCCCTCTGAACACCTGCTGGTTGTTGTAACAGGCGGCCAGAGTAGCGATGGCCATAACCTGCGGGTATCAAGGAGGGAGAAAAAACATCATTCGCGAACGAACAAAGCAAGCAGCAAAGAATAGCGCTACAATCCCAGGCACGAAAAGGTCAGAAAACCTGCAGACGGGAAACAGCCAAAGGGCTAAGATGTAACCCCCTGAGAAGAAAGGCCCAGGCAGAAAAAGCACGCCAGGCGCCCCCCACCCCCACCCCGGCCTCCCGGCCCAGCACCCACAGGATCGAGCGGCCTCTGCAGCCTGACAAGACTGTGCAGTCAGCTACGGAAGTTCTTTGGCTTGGAAAAAACAAACACAAGCAGATGCAACATTTTCCGTGCTGGAGCAACGAGCTATATTAGATCTGAAAAGTGTATTTCGAAGTAATGTCTGCAAAGAAACATCTATTTTAATTGTTTTTTTTGTTCTCTACGATGAACACAATCATTAGATATTTAAAAAAAAATTGAGGGGGTAAAAGAGGGGAACAGTTTCCAGAGCTCAAAGGTAAAGCACTTCTAGGCTCAAAGGCAGCAGCCTGAGCCGGGTCCAGATTCCAGTCCCGCCACACAAGGCAGACCCGAAGGACAGGCGCGAGCCGCCCGCCAGGTCAGCTCCACCCGGGCGTTCTTCACTTATTTGAATTGGTAAATAACTGCTAACATTTTAAAGGTGTAAGCTCCTGACTCTCCAGGGGCTGGGTCCTCAGATCAGGTTTGGATCTCCCGAGTCTAGGAAAATGAAAGCAACAACTGGAGGCTTAACTCCGACTTTGCGACGTAACGGCTCCCCACGTTTTCCCCGGGCCCCTCACAGACCTAGCGGAGCCCTAGACTGACCTGTGAGGTGAGGAGCAGCTAGTTGAGTACAGCTGGTGGGGAAAAAAAGAGCAAATCCAGAGAGAAAGTTCAGGAAAGGAGCAGTCTTAACCTCGAGGCTGAGCTGAGTGGTGGCGGGGAGCAAAGGCAAGGGGCTGAGACACGGCCTGCCCCCGGCAACAGAAAATCACCCGGAGCCTTCTTTTTAAGGAACCCGATGCCCGAACAGGCGAGGCACCACGCCCAGCATGCTACTCCGGGCCAGCCGGCCGGGCACGATACCTGGGGAATGGCACAGAAGTTGAACACGCTCTGGTTTCTCAGTCTCGACAGGTAGGTGATGACGTCCGGGAGGTGCTGCAGCGCGTTGGTGATGAGCTCGTTCAGGCACTGCACGGCCACATCGATGTTCTCCGGCTTAGCAAAGTCGCCCAACTTCTTAACATACTTGCCCCAGACCTGAGCGGGCAGGGTTTGAAAACAGGCCGCGTGAGGCCCAGGAGGACGGGAGAGCAGCACGCGGGGCTCTGGACTAAGAGCGACGCTACACGGCAGGCTTTCTCAGCTGCCGGCGCCTCCTTCCCCAGATCCCGTCCATGCAGTGGCCTCTGCGGCCAGCCAGGGTCTGGACAATAGGTATTCAGGACAGCGTCCCTTTGGGACAGAGTGAAGACCAAACAGGTCATTCGGAACCCTTAGTCTACACTGAGAAACAACCAGGCAGACGTCAGGACACCAGAGCCGCAGGCCAAGACCAGGCGTCCTCGGTCCGGCCAGGCCTGTCCGTGCTGGTGCGCGCGCAGCACGGCGGGGCAGGGAGCAGGTCGGGGGAGTGGGGGCGCCCTTCCCAGAGCTCAGGGCTTGGATTTGAAACCACATCCTCAAAGCCAGCGGCTGGGACTGGCTGGATGATTTTTAATGATATTGTTTAGAGGATTCTTGAAAGCAAACAACTTGGTCTTGGTAATTCCTAAGCTTCCAAAGAGTAACACTCCCTCTGACCAGATCCACTTCCCCCAATCAACAGCCAGGCCTAAAGGACCCCTCTCCTACCTCTTGAGGCCAGAACTCTCTGCCTTCTCGCTGGTCTTCCAGGTAGTCACGGATGATGTTTGTTTTCTGCAGGAACAGGCCCATGGAGTTGGCGCGCACTGTGTCTTCACCGACTAGCGGGTCTTCGAACTCCGAGGCTGAGAAGAGGCGGGAGAGGCCGATGCCCACCAGCCCGGCAACATAGTGGCAGTACTGGGAAGGACAGAGGTTGGAGAAGAGAGTGGTCGGGCACATTGGCAATGAAACCTCTATGGAGAGGGAAACACCAGAGATCCCTAGCTCCAGGAAAACAAGTTCCAAACAGAAGGTGCAAGATCTCCTTAGAAAACTCAAACAGGCACTGTAAGGATTGCAGACACTCTAGAAGGGCATAAAAGATTTGACAACAGTGATCCCTGGCTGGTAGATGGTGAATGCTCTTCATTTTTTAAATTGTACTTTATGTATTTCTACATACATTATAGAAATGCACATGCAAATGTAATGCACAGCTTCGGGAATAAAGCTACTAAACAAACTAGTAAACTTTTTTGTTACAGTAAACTTCCTGTTATTCAAATTGGGCGAAGGTAATGCAGGAAGAGAGCATGTGCTAACAGAAACCAGAGCAACACTGTATTTTAACACCAAGTGCTCAGCACTCTGCATTTTCAACCTCACCGACATCTTAGGAAAAGTAATTACCCTGATCCCCACGTCACAGGTGAGGAAACGGAAGCACAGAGAGGGAATGAACCTGCCCAAGGCCACTCATCTGGGAACTCAGAGGCCAGGGATTCACAACCAGGCGGTTGTGGTAAGCGTCAGGCTTTAACGGCTTTGCCAGAACTGCCTCTCTCTGCCAAGTGAGTTTAGCCAATGTGATTCCTAATTGTCAAAGAATTTTTTTCCATAAAAGCAGTTTATCGAAGTTATCCCCCGTGAAAAGAAGTATTCCAAATCAACTAAACACAATGCACTTAACTAATGGATGTCCCCTGGCCCAGCGAGGCAGCGGAGAGTGGTTACACGAGGGAGCTCAGGGGTGGGCGTTAGAATAAAGAGCTGGGCAAATCCCATCTCTCCGAGGCAGGGAGGGCGCCTCTGGCCAAGGGCGATACAGAGACCGAGGGGCACCACGAAACGGCCAGGAAAGTAGTTGACCTCTGCTTTAAGAGAGGAATCCTCTGGAAAGAGTAAGTTAAAGTGAAGTTAGGGACAAAGAACTGAGCCATGGACAGCTACAAAAAAATTTAAGAATTACTAAAAATTAAACTTCATAGTATGTCCATAGTGCTGTCCAAAGAAAAGTGTATCTAAGTAATAGCACTTTGGGCAGAAATACCCCTAGGATGGAAGTATTCAGGTCTCCCCAGAGGTGACTGGAAAAAGAGCCTTTAAAAGGATTCAATTTAGGGGCCTCCCTACTGTGAAAGGGGTTAAGATGCAACCTATGAAGCTGTCCGCAGCCACTGCAGCATGAGTTCGATCCCCCGGCCAGGGAGCTACCCACATGGTACAATGGACCTCTCCTGTCTCCCCGCTGCTCCCCTCAGCAGTGTACTTCAGTCAATCCGCCTGTTCTGTTTCCCACTGTTTCTGGTGAATCCTCTCACACCCCCCCCCCGACACCTCTGGCCTGTACCCCAGTTCTTGTATGCATAAATAAATAAATAAAAGGATTCAATTTATTTGATCAGTTTCCACTCAACAGCCTGTAATTCAGTCTCCAGAAGAGATCTGCACAGCAGAGAAGCCAGTCACTATGCAGACAATCAGGGCTGGCTGTTGGCCAGGAGCTAACTTGAACTACAGAGACTAATATTCTAGCAGCACGTATGCCAACTTGGGGTGCAAAAACCAGCAGTTTCAAAGACGCTGCCATCAAGCTTGGGGCTTGGAAAACAAAGAGGCCAGACCTTGAGCCTAGGCAGATTTGATGAATCTAGAGTGCAGACACTGACGGAAACCGGGTAACGACACGCCCCACGTACCACAGCTGAGCCGTTTCGGGCCTTGGCTCCCACGGGCCAGAGGAGCAGGCCGTTCTGTGGACAGTGGGCAAGACCCCACCACCTAGCCTGACGCTCAGTTTAGTCCACTGTCAGTTATGCCACTCTGTCTAGTGAGGATCCTCCTGCCCCTTACTGCCACCCGCTGCTCACAGAGCAGCTCAGGGTCCAACACAACGCCACCGTGGCCACGTCCACACGTCGCCTGCTCTCCGGTCTGAGGGCTGTTGTCTCCTGAGGACAGCCTCGCCCATGACGGTGTCCACAGCTCGGCCCCTGCAGACACCCACAACCACACACTGACCTCTGGAAGGGGGTGCTGGGGAGGAAAGACCCCAGGGTGGTGCCTAGGGACTGTCATGGACTGTTCTGTTTCTAAAGAAACATAATTGAACGGCTTGAGATTCCCACTTCTCCTCATATGGGGGGCCAAACTGGCACTGAGCTCAAAAACACCCTGAGTCAGGGCAGAAGCGCAGGTGGCTGAGATGCTGAGGTGTGTGCACACACTCTGAGTGACCAAAAACACACTGACTACGATCTGCAGCACCCGATCTCCCCGTATCACACAATGAGGGGGGCCATGTATAGCCAGCCCTGTGTAAGCCAGCAGCACTGTCACCAGTTGCGCCCTCACCTCCGGGACAGGTTCTGTCCACTGTGGTTCAACTTAGGGTGAAGGCTCTGGGGTGTGGACTATTTCGGGGGGAAGAAAACCTGCACTGGAGGATGACGCTCTTGCGTCTGGGCCTCAGGCTGAGCCGGCTCTTTCCCACGTACCACGCCGCTCCCAGGACACCAACCTTGTCCCACTCCTGTTCAGATGTTACGTGCTTATCCAGGAACTCTGCCATCCCAAATCCCATTTTCTTGCAAATGTCAGCGATCACGGTTTGATATTTCTCAGCCAGATTCCTAAACTCGAGGGAGATCTGAAACGAAGTACACACACAGGAGAAGGTCAACGTAGGGGGCAGCCAGGCCCTGAAGACCCTACCGCAGCAGGCCCGTGGCCAGTGCGCCCAGACGACCGTCTGCGCCCAAGGCCCAGGCGTGCTGGTCCCCTCACGGGGTTAGCACGCTCCGAAAATTTTATAAATATTAAAATAGGAGGGTGTGAAAGTGTTGAAGTTTCTAGACTCAGTCTCACCATACACTCCTCTTGCCAAAATACAGAGAGAGTGGGATGCCTCCACGCAGCACTGGGCAAGTGTGAGGACCTTGGGAGAACGCGGCGCCGCAGACAGCGGACAGCCCCGGGACAACCCCCAGCGACTGTTGTTCTGGAGGTGGGGCCTACAGCCGGACACACCGACACTCAGCCCACTGCCCATCACCACCTCCAAATCCGCCTGGTGAGCTAGAGGCTGCCCTCTCTGGGGGGACTCTTTTTAACACCTTAGAACAACTCTGCTTTGCTCAACCCCAGAGAGGCTGCCCAACACTTTCGTCCTCAGCCCCAGTCCCGATGCAGGGCAGCAGGAGTGAGGCTTCTTAAATTACTGCTACCGCCCAAATGTCTCGTTTAAATCCAAAGGTACGTTTATGGGTTGTCAAAATACCAGGCAAAAGCACCACGAAACCTCCTAAATAAAATGCTCCAGAACAGTCACCCAGTGAACAGACTGAGCACCCGCAGCGTGAGAAATACTTGGGCCGCTTCACAGGTTAGGAAATCTTCGGGAAATGCCAAAATTCAGTACCCGAGGGAAGCTGTGACCCAGGGAGCAGATGCCCATGGTGCCCTCCACACTCTGCTCTGCCCAGCGCTGCCGCAAGACAAGGCCAAACTCTTAATTCCCAGTGTGGGCAAACCCCACAGCAAAGTCTACCAAAGGTGACTTGCTCCCAGGCCGCTCGGGTCAGTTCTATTTATACAGGAGAGGCAGGCAGAGTGGGGAGGGGCTGTGCCCCTCCAAAGAAACAAACCACCAAGGGGCTGGCAACCCCCTGGTGACTCTGGTATCATCACATCCCTGCTGATTCAAGAGGTGAAAACATAAATACATGGGAGAGTGACAATGACAAGTTCTGCTTCCCAGAAAGCATGGTGGGGGGCAGCACCCTCCCCACCCCCCCACCCCCCAGTGTGCTCAACCAATGAAGGAGTCCAGGAGGGCTGTTCAGTCCTGGAGGTGACTTGCTCAGGACTCCAGATTCCTGGCCCTGGTCCCGCTTGGGCATTGCCGTGGCGAGTCTGCCGGTGCGACAGCGAACGGCCTGGTGGTGGGGGGCAGGGAACACTGCACCCACCTATCAAGACCGCCCCCACTGAAAGCTTCGTCTGTTGTGATGGCAGCACAGACACCACCTGTGACTTCATGTCCAGTGTGGTTTTTACCATGTCCTGGTAAGGGGGAGGTAAAACGTGCCGGTAATGGGCACAAGAGCTTGTCAGGTGAAACCAGGCAAGGTGCGTGGAGCGCCCTGCCGAGTTCCCTCCGCTATACTAAGTGGGATCACAGTGCGGATCTATCAGATCTTAACACTGCAGCAAAAAACAAATAGTAAATCAGTCATGAAACAGATCTCGTAACAAATCCGTAAGTTGCCCAATGTGCTGTTACTGCCTCCGTCTGAGCGTAACCCCGTGAGTCCCTCAGCTGTGTTCAGAGGCAGGCCTCTCAGGCATCTGCTGTCCATGAGCGCCAGATGAGAAAGATAAACTCTAGCTAGTAACATAAATGAGAGTTCTAGAAAGCCTGACTTTACTAGAGCCATGAATGGCCACTAGGCATAAAACACCCGGCTCCCTCTTGATGCAGAGGCTGTACCTGGAACTGCACCCCCAAACCCTGGGGCCTGTGACAGAGCACACCTGGAGCCCACGGACCATAGGGCAGGTGCTAGAAACCACCCAGCCAGTGAGGCCTCCCAGCCAGGACGCTCTGTTCTTCTTGGACAGACCTTCACAGAGGACGCGGGTGGGTTCCATGGAGCCTGTTCCCAGGCCCAGCAGGGCAGAGACTGTGGGCACCAAGCTCTTGCCTGTGTCTTCCCTCTGTACCCCCAATTCCGCACCACTCTGGGAGAAGGAAGCTCACACTCCTGCGCGGACACCCCAGAACACGCCGCGTCACCTATTTGACAGAAGGACGGGTCGGCAGCAAAGCCGGTGCCTGGCCAGCCCTCTCGCTCCCTTCTGCCCCCCTGGGCAGGCCTGTTCTGAGACTCACCTGGGGACCCTGGGCCCTGTGCGTACCAACGGCCACATCGCCACTTCCTCCCCAGCGAAGCTCCGACTCCTCACCTCATGGCGCCTCTGTCTCTTCGGTTTGAACTTTTATGTACTGGAGATGGGGCCCGGCCCTGAGGGCCCTCCTCAAACACCCTCTGTGTGACAGTGGGGCTCACCTGCCCCACAGGAATACAGATGTTTCTGTATTTCAGTAGCAAGAGCTCACATGAACGACTCTCCCCCAAAATTCTGCAACTGTGCACAAAAAGAAGGGCTTCTTGGGATTGTTAGGGAACCTGAGACTGCTAAATCACTCCTCTCGAGAAAACCTGAAATCACTTATTTGTGTTAAGACTGTCCGTGTCCTCCTCTAGAAAAGGAGGACCTAGTCACTGATGCAACAAACTTTCTACAGCTCCAGAGTCTCACCATAACCTGCTTCATACACACAAACTAGGGCGGTCCTCACCGGGGAGGACTCACCAGGGCGGTCCTCACCGGGAAGTCCTCACCGGGGAGGACTCACTGGGCAGTCCTCACGCACGCGTAGTCTCGGACAGTGCCCGGGATCACACAGCTGCCAGGGCCGAGGACAATCCCGCCTCTCAGCCCTCACTCGTGCCAGCTGAAGAGCCTGCCTCGCCCGCGCAAAAGGAGCAGCAGCCCTGCCCCAGGCTCAGGGACCCAGGAACTCAGTGTCACCTACTTGGTGGCACCGACCAGGTGCTGGGCCTGGTGACTGAGCCCCACCTTACTGACACTGGCCTGACTGCCGCTCCCTGAGAGGAAGCACAGCCGTGCAAAGCACCGGTGGCAGCCGCGGCTCTCACCACACGGGCGCTGTAACTGCTCACTGTGTCCTCGCGTTTCTGACGGCAGCGCTATCGCCATAACCCCCATCTCACACACGAGAAACCGAGGCACAGGCTACTAAGCGCCAGTGGACGAGTGAGAGTCAGGACTCCAGCCAAGGCTGGCTGGACACAGCGCCGAGCCCCCGAGCCCGGGACGACGCTGCGGCCAGCAGGCTCGGGCCCGCCTGCCGCCACCACCAGCGCACGCAGGGCAGGAGAAGGCCGCCAGCGCTACCGTCGGGAAGTCCTCCAGCACGTGCCGGTCCTTCTCCTTGCTCTCCATGAAGCGCCACTCGGGCTCGTACAGGTACGTGTGGAAGTTGTGCAGCAGCGGCACCTTCCTCTCCAGGCTGATGCTCATGTCGTCCTCCACCGTGTCCAGCGCGCGCAGCACCAGGTAGAAGATGCACACGGCGTGGCTGCGGGAGGAAGCGGGCAGGCTCGCAACAGGCCTCCAGGAGGCTTTACTTTCAAATCCCATGTGCGGGAGGATTTCTACCCCCTCCTCCCGCCTGGGCGCCGGGGAGCAGGAAGGGACACCCACAGCCTGTGCTGCCGAGTGAAACACAGTAGTTTCTTGGATGGGATCGAGGGATTTCGAGCTTCATAAAAAAAGAAACAGAATAAGCCCGGCCAGCTGGATGCCAGCGCTGCTCCCAGCGCCCCAGAGCTCCATTTAGCCAACTCGGAGCAACTGTGCGCAAAGCCTGCTGAGCAGCAGTGGGGTGTCTGCAGATCAAAGCGTCCAAAGACCACCTTTGGGGCAGCTGCTGGGCCAGAGCAGCGGGTCTGAGCTTCTGTGTGAGCCCAGCAGGGCGAGCGAGCGCGAGGAGAATCCGCCCGGGCCGGTCCTGGGGCGGGGGAGGGGGGGCCGGAACCGCAGGGAGCTGGGAATGGGCTTCAGCTGCCAGGCCCGAGTCAGCAAACCCGCGCCCCGCGGGAAGGGCCCGCTGCGGGGACCCCCAGGTGGGCCACTCACCGCATCTCCCCGTCCAGCGCCTCGATCACGGCGGCGAAGCTGCGGCTGGTCTGGTTCAGGTACTTGTAGCAGGTCCTCAGGCTGGGGCTGAGCGCGTCCTGCGGGCAGAGGAGCGCCGGGGCCGTGTGGGGGCGCGCGGGGCCGCGGGGCGGGGGGCGCCCCGCGGGGCTTCGCAACCCGCAGGCGCCCGCTCCCCACGGCCCGCACCCCGCGGGCCAGGGGCGGCCGCGCGGCGGGGAGCCCGCGCCCCTGAGCGCCGCGGCGGGGCCCCGCACCCAGGCCTGCCAGAGAGACATGCCGGGGCTCGGGCGGGACTCCGCGGCCCACGGCGGGGCCAGGCGGGAGGCGCCCCCGCGGGGCTGGGCGGGCCGGACCCTCCTCCACCCAGCCAGCCAGCCGGGGCACAGGAGCTCTGGGGGCCGCCCCGCCCCGCCCCGCCCCGCCCCGCCGGGCTCTGCGCCCCGCCGCCACCTGCACGCGCCTCCTCCCCGCCCCTCCCGGGCCACCCAATCTGGGCAACAATCCCGCGGAGGGGTTCAGCGACAAGCCCGCATCCCGGCCCTGTGACGGGGCCTCCCCTCGCCCCGGCCGGCTCCAGCAACATCCGTTAGGCCCATTTAGGCCCATTTCTCCCTCTGGTCCGGTAAGTCACCCCCAGCCGGCTCCTGCACCCTAACCCCTGCTCCCGGCCCCGCCCCCAGCGCCACGCCGAGGCTGTCCCAGACCGCAAGGGTCTCTGCGTAAAACCTGATCTTATCCCTTTAACCACTTCTGGCTGCTTTTTCTTTCACACCTGCTCAACCGCTGCTCTCTGAAAAGCCAGCTAGCCCTGCTCAGATTTCTGCAGCCACCGCTCCAGAGGGAGAGCAAATAAGGTGACTCCACACGGGCAGGAGCGCAAGGACTGGGGTGCGGGTGTGTGTGAGACAGAGAGAGAGTTTGGCAGAGACTTTCTATTCTAGAGCAATTGCGGGGTTACAGGGACACCGCGGGGAGGCACACACCTCCCCAGTCCACTCTCCCCCACTCTGTTAAAGAGCAGGGAGCAGTTGGTTGCAAGCACCCGGGGCACGTCCACTGGGAGGAAAGTGCAGCGGGCGGTGCAGGGCGGGCCAGGGCACCCCTACACTCCCACCAGGATGCGTGTCTTTTGTCAAAAGAGGAAAGTCCTTTAAGTCACGTGATCATGACAATTTCATTGCCCGTTACAAGGAAGCATCGGGAGCAGCAGCATGCACTGCCCCCCTGCACCCCGCGCCAGGAGATCAGTCATACAGTGTCTGGCATCTAAAAGTACTCAGTAAGGTTGGAAATGGGTCACTGGTTCCTCCCTCTCAAAACATGACAGGGCTTCACCATAAAAGGCCACACACGGGCAGCTTCCTGAGCTCACCGTGCAAAGGGCATCGGGAAACCAACACCATTTTAACATTTGGCCAGAGATGGTCACGGAGCCTCTGACCGTGCCCTCCGAGCAGGAACACAGGAACGCTTCGCTTCGGGCAGGTCTTGTGGCCAAACGACTTTGAACTTAATTTACACCAAAGCGCTTCCCTTTCAGGCTGCGCCGGAAGGAGCTGGTGCTTGAGGGCTGTGCTCCTGCCCTTCTCTGTGGCGAGGAGACCCGAGGAGGTTGAGTCACCAAAGTTACCTGCTACTCGAGTCCAGATCTAGACTTAAGGTACTGGCCTTGTGGCCTGAGATGCCGGCCTGCACCCTGGGGCTCAGGGGGAGAGAAGTCAAGTCACAGAGCGCCCACTTCCCTGCCCGGCGCCCTCGGGACGGCGCCACACAGCGGGCCGGGCACTCACCCTCCACTTACTCATCTGCCCCAAAAAACTTCAGCAAAATCAGCTTCACGAAACCTTGAGCTCCTATGGTCAGACCCTTCGTGACGAACTCAACCGCGCACACCGTCTGCTAAGAGCAGCTCCCCCAGCTTCTCTCTGATGAGGGGAGATGCCCAGATAATGTCACATGAAGGCGCATGTGCTCCCCAGTTTGTCTCCTCTGATGAGAGGGACACTCAACTATTTTTCAATGGCTCAAGGGGTCCAAAAGGGCTCGGATGGGTGAGTGTGGGGACATACATCTGAGGACATACATCTGTTTCCTGAGTCATAGGCTGTGCTATAAACTGCTGTTACCACAACAAAAATAAAAAGAGCTCAGCCCCCCAAGGTGCGAAAAACTGCAAACACCCAACAACACTACCGTGTGGCCACCGAACCTCATCGCGGAGGGAACAGCCCAAGCCCCACTCTGAATACAGTGCAAGAGTCCACGCGACATCTTGGCCTCACCCTCGCCAGGCCAGCCCCGGCCTCCCTAGAGGGCTCACGGCTGCCGCCTTCTCCAGCCGCCTCCTCTGACAGACAATGAGACACGGGGAGTCTAGTCTCTGGGCTCAGGTCACAGCCCTATAAATGTGGTCCCAGACGGCAGACACTCACATCCCTCCTGCTGTTGTTTATGTTATATATATATGAATATCATGCGGTACATCAGTAACACACACCGTACGTAAGCTATCCCAGACAACGACGTATGAACACGCTACGGTGTCACGATAGCCGGGTGATGATCTTTTAATGGCAATTATCTTGGCCTAAAATAGGCCGCGGCTACTTTTGAAGATTCTCTTCTGCACCAGAATAGCAGGCTCACGAAGCGGTGTCCACCGTCCTGTCCTGCTCATTTGACATCTCCAGCACTGAGATGCAGCAGGTGCGGGCAACCGGCGGTCCCGTCTTTGTTGAATGAATCAACGAACCCACGCGTGAAGCTGACACACAGCAGCATGGCCGGCGGGGGGCGGGGGCTGGGCACAGCAGCCACCCAGGCACACGAGAGGCGGCAGGATCTCATGAGCTCTCTGGGCGTCACAGCCCGACAGCCTCCACAGAGAAGCGGGGTGGGGGGTGTCTTCAGACGGGCCCGGGTGGGCATCCTGACCCACCAGCTGGGAGCGCGCGACTGTGAAGTCACATGACATCACAGTCTTCCAGAACGGCAGAGCTGAGCGCCGCTCCTGGGCTGCAGTCAAAAGTGACCAAGTGCGGGGGGAGTTACAAAATGGCCTCAAAACTGGGTGCTCTTTCCATCAGGAGACGGGGCATCTCCCCCATCCTGGAATCTGGGCTCCCCTGTGCCTTTTTTTACGCTGAGAAAGACAGTGGCAGGTGCGCCTCAAGCAGGGCATGGAAAGCAGGGGCATGCTGGGGCGGGCGCCTCCAGTGGCTGTGGAAGGACCCGGCTGCCCGCCCCGTAATGAGACACGCCAGCTAGGGGCCGATCGCCTGACCCCGGTCCTCAGGCCGGGAGCGAGCCCCAAGAACCCAACCCCGACCCAGACCAGAGGCTCAGCTCTCTCAGAAAGTTGTAACCTGAGCTACAGAAGTTACTCTAAGTCATGCTGTTCACGCTGCTCTGTTGTGCAGGTTTTTTTCTTTCAATTAAAATGTATATAACAAAACTGACCACAGTAAGCACTGCTAAGAGGACGTTCAGTTCTGTTAAGTGCTGCGTCCACACCGCCTGCGCCCAGCCCCTGACTTCAAGCAGTCAGGGTTGGGGTGGTCTGTGGCTCATCAAAAGCCACCACCACACTGAGATGCCAGAGGCGCAGTGCGGGGCAAGTGAGCCCCTACGAGCGCCACCGCCAACCTGAATACTCTGACCTCGCCCCCCTCCCGCCCCCCCCCCACCCGCCGTCCTGCACTGCCCTCATCAGACCCGGTTCTGCTTCTGACCATTCCCCACTTCACCGACTGCACTCAGCTCGTAGACTTCACCCCTGCTCGCGGACTTGCCTCTCTGACACTCCCTTTCGGCAGCTCGTCTGCCTCCTCCGGCGTGACCTGGCAGCCTGGGCCAGCTCTCCCCACTCACTGAACCTAACCTCAAGGCCCCACACCTGACCAGGCACGCTTCCTGTGCTTTCTGAGGACAGTTCCCCTGAAAACACCTCCCTATAACTGAAGTTTCCAGAAACCAACTTGTATTAAGGTGACGTGCGCCGTCCAGCCTACCTTACACGGTACCCAGACCCCCAGACATGGTGACCCTCTCCAGGGTACCACCTTCCACTCTGTGGCCACCACACAAATGTGTTTGGCTTTCAGCTGACCCTGGACACCCCCTGCCCACAGCATCTCCGTGGCCTGGCAAACTTAAAAGTGAGCAGCCCAATGGGGGGAGGAGCGAGGCCTGCAGTCGGCTTCACGCCAGGCCCCGCCACAGGAAGCTGCTGGACTTGGGCAATGAATCCACCCCTGTGTCTGTTTCTTCACCTACAAGCTGTAAGTGACAGTAGTTCCTGATCAGGTGAGTGGGAGGTTTAACTCCCAGATGAAAGGAGGTGTTTACAGTAGTGCCAGGGCATTCGGCATTCGGATGGCCTGACAGGTATTCAGATGGCCTGACAGGTATTCGAGGTGTGATACCTTATCTAAGAGGTCAGGAAGTAGGCGGGAGGCCTTCCAGCATCGAGAGGATTCCCACTCAGAAGCAGCACCACTGGCCCTCCCGAGACTGACCACACCCGCACGCCAGGCGCAGTGCCGCGCAGGAGGGACTCCAGTCACCTGTTTGTTCCTTCAGAGACACGCCATCTGGAGCAGGCGGGGCAGTGCACGGCAGCTTGGAGACGAACCCAAATGGTTTGTGTTTTCAGTGCTTTTCTATTTGCCTGAACTATTTTACAACTAAACTACATTTTAACCTTAAGTGACCGGGACATCCAGCCACCCAGGGACAGGAGCTCCGAGTTCCGCAGCCACCGCAGCGCACCTACGGCGCTGTTCAGTCAGTTTTGAACGATCCAGGGAGGGACACCAGGTGAGTGTCTGGAAAGAGCAGCACACCAGGCGTAGCTCGGGGAAGGACACAGCACGCAAGCTTGAGGTCGTGTTCGTCAAGAGAACCTGCGAACGCTCGAGACACCTGAAATGCTGTATCCCAGAGCCCGGAGTAAGCTCTCCGCTACGCCAGAGGGGACGCAAGGGCTGTGTGCGCCCCGGGAGACCAGAACCATCTGGAGATGGAGGGCGGTCTCAGGGCAGTAAATGGCTGTCACAGGCACCAGGGTCGGGCCTCTATCTGCCTTAGGCCACAAAGCCTGGAAGAATCTGCTCAGAGTGGACACCATTTTCCTCCGCAAAACAAACGTACAGCAGCATAAGTAACTCCAGGAAAGCACCGAGCCCGAACTCTCACACAGAATCCTAAAGGCAGTCTAGATGCATCTCCTGTGGGCAGCCCTCAGGCTACATCTGCTATGCCAGGCAGCAAGGACTTTCTCCTGTGACTTCCCGGTGGCAATTCCTATATTCTGCCAGCTCCCTGGGTTCGCCTTGTTTAAAAAGCTAAACATGCCTGTGGACAGGGTACCCACCTTTTGTCCATTAGCTGACTACAGCTACAGCAACAAGATTCCAATTTCAAATAGTTAAAAATCCAGAATCAAATTGGAGTCAACCCTGGTGGTGCAAGGGGTTAAGATGCAACCTATGAAGCTGTCCAGAGCCTCTGCAGCACCGGTTAGATCACAACCTGCCAGCGAGGGTCCCACATGGCGCCGCAGACCTCTCCTCTCGAGCCCGCTGCTCCCCTCAGCAGCGTATTTCAGTCCGTCTGCCTGTTCTGTTCCCCACTCTGTCTCTGGTGAATCCTCTCACCCTCATACCTCTGGCCTGTACCCCAGGTCTTGTGTGCACAAATAAATAAATCTTTAAAAATAATAATAATAATCTTAAATCCGAACGGAACTTGGGAACATAAGCCCTACACACCAGCGGTAGGCCTGGGACTGACTGATGGCAGGTGACCTCATTCTAGGCTTAAGGCTTGAGGGAGGTTCACAGGTCCCGGAACAGCCTCTCCAGGTGGGGCCTTCCTGAGAGTTTCTTGACTGACTTTACCTATAAATTGACAATGCTTTATTGGCCTGACAAGAAGGTGAGCTCTGAGTGTCTTACTGGCCTACCACCCATCCTGCTGGCTGTGCCCAACCTCTGGTCCAGAGAGGTGTCCAGTGAGTCGCTGAGTGGCAGCCCTCCTGCTCCAGAAGGAGTTCGATCCCCGGCAGGCCAGGGAGCTACCCACAGGGCGCAGCAGACCTCTCCTGGCTCCCCGCTGCTCCCCTCAGCAGTGGACTTCGGTCAGTCTGCCTGTTCTGCTCCCCACTCTGTGGAGGGTGAATCCTCTCATCCCCGCACCTCTGGCCTGCACCCCAGCTCTTGTGTGCATAAATAAATGAACCCTAAAAAAAAGGGTGCATCTACACAGGGCTGTGCTCCACTGGTATTTCCACCGGGGAAGACGAGAGCTTGTGCTGCAGCCGGGCGAGGCTGCACCTGAGAACGCATCAGCACCGTCACCCCGGGGTGCGGGGGCCGCGGGCCCGGGCCTTCCCGCGCCGCCGTGGAAGCGCGGACGAGCCCGCTGCGGGGGTGCGGGCCGGGCGGGGGTGCGGGGCCGGGCGGGGTGCGGGGCGGCGCGGGCCCGGGCGGCCGCTCACTCCGCAAGGATGCGGCGCGGCTCGCGTGAGGGATGCGCAGCGGCCGGCACGTCCAGCCGCCTCGGCTCGGCCGCCCGAGCGTCGGGACCAGGGCCGCGGCCGCCGGGCCCGGGGCCGCCGGGGCAGAGGCCGCCGGGGCAGAGGCCGCCGGGGCAGAGGCCGCCGGGGCAGAGGCCGGGGCAGAGGCCGGGGCCGGGGCAGGGCCGCCGCCCGCCCGCCCGCCCGCCCGCCGCCGCCAGGCTGCGCGGCCTACCTGGCTCATCCTCGGCATCACGCGCTGCAGGCCGCCCATCTTGAAGCGCAGCAGGTTGTAGAACTCCTCGGGGTGGCCCAGGCACTTGACGAACTCCATGGCGGCGGCGGGGCACCTGGGCCGGGCACCTGGCCGGGCACCTGCGGTACCTGCCGCGGCCGCGGGACGCTCTAGAGCCCGGCGCGGGGGGCGGGGCGTCCGGGCGGCTCGCGCGCGGCCCCGCCCCGCCCCGCCCCGCCCCCACGGGCCGGCTCTCGCGGCGCCAGCGCGCGCGGGGTGGGCTGGCGGCCGCTGATTGGCCGGGCCCTCGCCCCAGGACGACGCCGGCCAATCGCCGGCGGGGCGCGCCTGGCGTGACGACGCGGCGCCCGGAGCCACTGGAGGCTGAGAGCGAGGCGGGCGGCGGCCTGCGGCCCCGGGGGGCGGGGCTGGGGCGCTCGCGCGTGCGCGGTTGCCGGGGCAACCCCGCATCTGGGCCGGCCGCCCCGCATCTGGGCGGGTCTCCCCGTCGGCGCCGGGGCCTCCCGGGGGTCGGGCGCGGGGGCCGGCGGCCCCCAGCACCCCAGCACCCCCGCCCCGCGCCGCCGGCGCCCCGGCCCCGCCGCCCTCTCAGCCGCAGACGCCAGAGGCCCCCGCGGCTTGGAGCGCGGCTGCCGCCGTGGGCGCGCAGGGCCCGCACCCCCAGCCCCGTCGCCGCGGGCCGCCCTCCCTCCCGGGCCCTTCCCAGGCCCGCCCCGGCCGGCCGGCCGGAGCCCCTGCCCCCCGCCCCCGTCTGCGCGGGCCCGCCCGCTCCCGCCGCCCGACGACCTGCACATGCAGGGGCCGCGTTTGTTTAGAACAGAGGATGCAGCAGCCACGCCGCGGCTCGTCCCCGCCCGGCCAGGCCAGGAGCGGCCCGGGGCGCAGCCGCCCGCCCTGCCTCCCTCCCGCTGCTCCCCCAGCGCTGGATTTCAGTCCCGCCACCTGTCCTGCCCCCCACTCTGGTGACTCCTCTCAGGCCCCCCGCGCCCGCACCTCTGGCCTGTACCCCAGCACTTGTGTGCATAAATCAGTAAAAATTGCAATTCAGGGCACACGAATTTGGGTAAAAACCAGAACTGTGCCTCACGGACGGATGTAAGTTGGGGGTTTGATGGAGGAAGAGAGGATGCGTGTTCACAAGCTGAGGCTGTTCTTGGGCAACAAGGTGCTGATGCTGCCCTCCCGCGTTCCCGGGTGCTCAGGCAAGACTTTCCCGGTTCCTTTGAACAAAATAATCCCATACAGGCTTTGTGGACGCCACCCCCACCCCAGGCCAAAGCCAAAGACACTGGGAACTCCACATCCCATCCCCACCCAAGGGAAGGTGGCTGGGACCTGAGGGGGGGGTTCAGCAGCCAGGTGGGTATAAAGCCAGACACGTGGGCTTTGAGGGGGTCCCCCATTTTGGCTCCCACCAGCTCACAGTGTCCAGCCAGCTCTGAGAGTGCCTTTGGGTTTCCAGGTCGGCGGATCGGGTAGGACGCATGAAAGACTTTATCTCCCTATTTTCTCCCTGAGTTGTACATTTTCCTTATTTCCTTTTCCCTTGTAAATAGACCTTTTATGAACCTTTTGTGTGTGCCTGCCGTGGAGTGTTCAGAAGTCCCTTGTAAGCGTGCGGGTGAGGACCCACAGCCAGGAACCCGTTCAATATCGGGGCTGCCCTATAACAAAAGGTTTGACCCATTCACCAGTCACGAATGCGGCTTCTCCATGATGGCTGCCTGGCTTCATTTTAAAAATGGTCCCACAAACGTCAGCTTTCCACAGGCCTCTCTGCCTGGCTGTTCACTTCTTATTCCTGCAATATCCCAGCCCACCCGGGGGGAGCAACGAACTCCCTCACCTCCTTCGCTTCTTTGCTGAGATCTCACTTCCTCACCTGGGTCCACCCTGATCGCCCATTTCATACTGCAGCTTGTCCCCCGCCCCCCACCCTGCTCTGCTTGCTCCCAGTGTTCATCATGTCACAGAACACTGCTCCCCGGGCCACGCTGCTGCTCGAGGGTGACAGACTGTGCTGTGCTCACTGACACACCAAGCACCAGAGCAGTCACAGGACATCCAAGGGGCACAACGTTCTCACCTCAGCGGCCTCAGGGATGCCTCCTGAGGACCCAGTGCCAGCTGACCCTGACTGAGCCACTCCTGCCGAACCTGCTTCTCTGGTCAGCAGCACCTACGGCCTCCCATTGCTCAACTGTCAAATCCAGACGTCACCCCTCCTCCATGGTTTCTCAAAACTTTCCACCCGGTTCAGAGGCTTTACCAGTTCATGAGTCACCAGTTCCCTGGTGCAGCTTCACAGATCCCTACACCCATCGCGTCAAAATCATTCATCAAATCCTACCGGGCCCCCAAATCCCCATCCTATGGAGCTCAGGAAACCCACGTCTCTCTTCGTAACCTCTCCTCAGCTCCGACTTGAAACCTGTCCTCCCTTTTGTCCCCCACCCCCAAATTCATGTTGAAGCCTTAACCCACATGGTGGCTGAAAAAATGGGACCCCATTTGGAAATAGGACCTTTTCCCAGATAACCAAGGTTCAGTGACGTCACAAGGGTGGGCCTAGTCCCACAGGAGCCGCAGCTTCCTAAGAAGAGACAGCAGGGCACGAGGCCACTGCTGCCTGCAGAGGGGCGTCAGGAGAATCAGGCAGCTGACACCTCCACTTTGGACCTCCCCCTCAGGAGCGGAGAGCCTCTGGCCGTCAAGCTCCCCAGTCTGGGTGCCTGTGAGCCCCAGCTCGCAGCACGCTCCAAGTCCAAAGCTCAGATGCTTTGGGTCAGCCAAGTGAAGCGCACAGCGGTGCCGCCCGGCACGCAGAGGGACACGGCCCGCTACAGGGGGGAATGCAGAACCCCGGGAGTCTGGGCCCCACAGCACCTCCTCCTCTTCCCAAGAATAAAGGTGAAAATGGATTTCGTGGCACAACACGGCTCAGCACACGGGGTACAGCGCAGTGAAACTACTTTACTGGGGTCCCTGGAGGCTGAGCGCCAAGAAACCAAGTAGATGCAGCTCTGCAGCGCTTCTCAAACTTACCTGTTCCCGGAACCCTTCACTGGGAGACCTCCTGGAGATGCTTCCTCCCTAGATACCTTTTTCAGAAGTGGTGGGCCAAAGGAATCCTGGCTACTTTGACCCCTAATATTGGCCAGGACTTGGCCCATGTAGGGGGGCTGCCTTGGGTGGGGGGGCGCGACTGACCTTGGCCCGTCACCTTGGGATCCCAGCGCCCCGGCCTCGTAGACTCGTTTCTCGTCTGCAGTGAGTGCACACTGCAGCCCTGCAGCGCGTACCTGGGACTCAGGTAATTGGCTCAGCTTGGGACACACACTGACCATGGGACACACACTGACCAGCCCCGGGGTCCAGGTGGCCACGGAGCAGCTTCTGCCGTGGGCTGCTGAGATCTGGGGGGAGAGGAAAGCGCACATACCCCCTCTTGTACCTGCTGTTGCAGCACCTGCTTTAGGCCAAGCAGGTGGAGAGCAGGTGGGCACCCCACAAAGACCCTTTAGACACCAATAGAAAACACGGGCTTTATTCCCACGTCACCACCTGGAGTCTCATTGTGCTAAGGCCCCAGTGAGCTGTCTCCACACCCAACTCCTGCCAGCATGTCAAGTCCATCGCCCAGAGGGGGAAAGAGCTCTTCTGAAGCCCCAGCCCCCAGGTAGGTGGTCAGCTCCGGGCCCCTCCTTTCCTGGGGATGCCCAACCCACAGGAGTGCCCGCGAACAGGAGGCCGCATTCCTGCAGTCCCGCCAGCACGGCATCCTCAGAGAAGGCACGCTGGTCGGTCTTCGCGTCGCGACAAGCGCAGTGGCCGCAAACCCGCCCATTTCAACACCACATGCTTCAAAGCAACCCTGGGCAAGGCTGGGCCACGCGGGGCTCCTTTCTCTGCCCCGTCATCTGGGAGGATCCTCCCTGTACCGTTACGACTCCTCTCACCTTCCACGAGGTAGAAGATAATCAACCAAACCAGAAAACAATCCGAAGAATCTCTGTTTTTGTTTTTTTTTTTTTTTTTTTTTTTTAATAGAGGCATGTTTTATTTATTTATTTGTTTGTTTGTTTTGTTTATACAAGCACTGGGTACAGTCAGAAGCGCGGGAGGGTGAGAGAATTCACCAGAGCCAGAGCAGGGAGCAGAGCAGGTAGGAGGACTGAAGTACACTGCTGAGGGGAGCAGCGGGCTGCAGGAGAGGTCTGCGCGCCATGTGGGACCCTCCTCCGGTGGCCGGGGAGCAGCCGGGGATCGAACCGGCGCCGCAGAGGCCGCAGGCAGCTTCGCAACCCAGCGCTCAACCACTGCGCCACCGGGGAGGCCCAAGAATCTCTGTTTTTGATGTGAGTCCCGGGCAGTGACCATCAGCAAGACTGACACCCTGAACCCTGACCCTACCCCCACTTCTTACACCCCTGCTCACACCCCCTCCTGGCCACCTGGGCATCGTGGACCTTCCAGGGCCAGGGGTGACACAGAGGGCCTGAGGGTCTCGGGCCTGCGCTGCTGCTCCGGCTGCTCGGCGGGCACACGGGGCTGGCACTGTGGGCACCACCAGGTCAGTCTCTGGAAACCACCAGGAGGTCCAAAGGCCTCCTTGCAGACCTGGTGCCCCTCAGGACACTGCTCTTTCTGGTAGATCTGCATGTGCTGCTGCCGGCCCTGGCACTTGCCCTGCAGCCAGTCAGCGCTGAAACCCAGCACGTGGTCCAGCAGGGTCTGGAGCTGAGGAGGTTGGAGGAGTGAGCCCAGAGAAAGTGGGTGGATGCCAGCCCTGTACAGGGCCTCGTTCTTAATGATGTTCCCTGGAAGAAAGCAAGGAGGCGGAGGGGTCAGGCGCACACTAAGGAGACACTGCAGACGTCACAGAGCAGAAGCACAAGCCTGAGGGCAGCAGGGCAGAGGCAGCTGGGCCCAGCTTGGCGTGGGTGTGGCCACCTGCAGTGGTTTGGTAACACGCATCTTCAGGGATGTCAAGACAAAATGGAATGATATTCAGGGCTGGCATTTAGCACGCAGAGGTCAGCCAAATGGACTCTGACAGCTGAGAGTCAGCCCCGAGCTCCAGGTCACCTAGATGCTCACTGCAGGCCCTGAGCTCATTCAGGCTCACTCTCCTCAGCTGTCAAGTGGGGTCAGGGACCTGGTTTTTGTGAGCAGTGAATGAGAACTCACACACGCCCAGCCCATGGACGGGAAGTTAGAATGGCACACGGCCCGGCTGGTCTGACTAAAAGGCCTGGCGGGAGGCAGGGCTCAGGGAGGGTGCGGCCATCTTCCCGCCTCATTCTCGGGAGGCCAGCCTGGACCCCTTCTTCCGGAACCCACGACTCTCTCCAACCACGCTGTCTGGAACCTCTTCCAGGCCTTTCTCACGGCCCATCCGAGCTGCAGCTGAGCCCGGGAGTGCTGGCCACCGGACGAGCACTGAAGCCAGGGGAGAGGCGGCAGGCACGCAGCACCGTGGGGGAGCAGAGGGAGAGGCCCCTGCTCACACCCCTGCTCTCTGGAGGTGCGACCTGCACCCCCTGCCAGGACACCCTCTGGCAAAGGGAGAACACCAAGCACGAGCAGCCGGAAGAAGCCCGCCGGAGCCCACAGAGCCCCTGGCCATCACCCGGGTAGGCAGTGCGAGGAAGCCAGGGCGTAGGCTCTGACCATGTGTACCTGGCGCCACCTCCAGAAGCCTCTGGGCTTCAGGGTAGACGCCCCAGGTATGATGGTGAAGGTTCAAGGCTGTTGTCTGAGCCACGGCCTCCTCTCACGAGGTCAGCCTTGCCTGCCAGCTGGAGGCAACATTCCCCTGGGAATGGGGTGACCTCCACTGCCGCCACACCTGACCGGGTCACCAGTCGGGGGATGCTCTCCCAGCTTGCTGGTCAGCTGACTGGTCTCCCCACCTCAACAGGCCACCTGTGGCTCATGACTTGAGCCTGCTTCTGCCTCGTGTCTCCTCAGTCCGTGATGTGGGCTGAGGGGCCAGGACCGGGCAGCAAGCAGGTGGCTCCTCAGCCTGAGTGGCCCCCACTGGGCTCCTGGTAGAGGCTGAGTCAGAGTGTCTGTGTGCAGGCTTTTGGGGCCCAGGAGAGAATCCCACGACTCCGGCCCCAGGGGAGGCCACACGCCAATGTGGCTGGTAATGGAACAGGGTGGAATTCTGAATGGGCAGAGAAGGTAGAGATTGTCTTCTCTTCCTCAGTTTAAACAGTGGCCCCTCAGGAGGGTCTGAGTCTGGGGCCTCCCAGATCAGTGGGGTTCTCCGGTCAACAAGAGCCTCCATAGCCCCACTCAGAAAGTCCGGGAAGACAGGTGTGCGTGTAGGTGACAAACGCCAGGCCCGTGGCCTTGCTTCCCTTTTCTGGGACTCGAGGGCCTGCAGGTGAGGGGCCTTGGGGGGCACCACCACCCACACACCTGGAGGCCCACTTCCTCCAACGTCTGTGTCCTCATGGCCCTGTCTGCGCCTGGCCAGTGGGTGCCTGAAACACGGCAAGCCCCCCGCACCTACCTGAGCCTGAGAAGTGCCTCTGGTCCAACAGTGTGTAGCAGACGGGCTGCGCCTGGCCCAGCGCCACCAGGGCACGCCCGCGATGGAACTCGGGGGCCAGGATGTCGGAGGTGGGGCTGACCACCGGGGAGGAACACCACGACATCTGACAGTTGTAAAATGCCAGGAAGCCACCGCCCCCGAAATGCAGGACCAGCCTGGGGAGACAGAGAAGATGCTGAGAACACAAGAGCCCCCACCCCCAGTCAGCTGAGGAGCCCAGGCCTGTCCAGTGAGAGGAGCCTGTGTCCGAGGAGGATTTAAGAAATAAATACACCCGGTCACTCAGAAGACCAAAGCCTGCGTGAGCCTGGTCTTCACCCGCAGTCCCTGGCTCCCAACCCCCACGCCTGGGCATTCCCCAAGTGCTGAGAGTGACAACAGGCCTCTTGCTATGTGAATGAGGCGCTTCGGGGCAGCAGCTAAGGATGGGCTGGGTACCAGGAGGGCTGGAATGTCCCGACCCCCAGCGGGGCATGGGCTGTAGGCGGAGCTCAATGGCCCAGGGGCTCATCAGCCACACGGAGAAAGGAGCCTCCAGAAGGGCATGAGGGGCCTCTGGTGAGCTTCCAGGTGGGGGATCCTGTGGAGACCCGGGAGCAGGGCACCCGCAGAGGCTTGGCTCCGCAGCGCTCAGCAACGCTCCACAGCATGCCCGTGCTGGCCTCCCCCGGCCGCCCCAGCGCGGCCTGCGCGGCGACCTTCGCCCGGGAGCAGCCGTGCCTGGGCCAAGGGGAGCTCTGATTCACAGCCTGGTCAGGGCACAGCCGGCCATCTGGGCTGCGACACGCCTGAGGCTGGGGTGGGGTGGGGCGTGGGAACCTCAGTCTCCAGGTCGGGGTCCAGGAGCCAGGGGACACGAGGAGGAGGGTTGGGGCGCTGCGGCGCGCTGAGCTGTGGGGCACGGACGCGGGGGAAGCGCAGGCACCCAGGAGACAGGCACAAGCCACAAATTCATTAAAACAGCAGAGAAAGCACAAAAAAATTGTTGGGGCAAAAATCAAAACAAAGACAAAGGGGAGGCCAAGGTCACACCTTTGTGATCTCGGGGCTAAGCGGTCATGACGAGACGACAGCAGCTTCTGCCCCTTCCTGGCAGCCAGAGGGGACACGGGGTCAGAGGGGACGCGCAGGAGGGGTGGGTGTGGGGGCGGAGCACAAACAGGGCCTGCTGGGACGAGTGGGGAATGGCCAGGCAGGGCCCCGCCCAGGCCCCCGGGCAAGCGTTACCAAGACCAGGCAGCGCCACTGGATGTTGCCAACCCCAATGAGCAGCAATGGGCACGTTGTCAGGACACGCCCGAGGAGCCGGACTCCTCCCTGAGGGAGAACAGGCCCTCGGGGTCACACGCCCCAGTGGGGGTCTGCTGCTGCGGCCAGGACACCCCGCGAGCGGCAGGACGCGGGGAGTCTGGGCAACACGCTCTGCGGGGAGAAGGTGCCCAGGACAGCAGCGACCTCAAGAGGGGCTGGGGCGGCCGCGGCGAGAGAACCAGGCGGGGCTGGAGTTCTGATTCCCACGGGGGAGCTGAAGGGATGGCGGCTCCACGGCGGGGCACCGAGCCCGCCTGCGCAGACCCGACGGCGGCCTCACCGCTGAAGGCCGGGGAGGCGCGCACGTGGCCCGGGTCGCGACGGCTCCGTCCTCAGCCAAGGCGGAGCGGCCATCAGGCAGGCCAGCTACGCCCGGGCTGGGCCTCCAAGCATCAGCACGGAACCGGACACAGGAGCACCGCGGGGCTCCACGGCAGACACGGCCACCGAGAAGGGAGACGGACAGTCCCGGCCAGAGAGCAGCGCCCCCGGTGGGGTCACGTTTATGCGGCGAGCGGCGAACTGACAGAATTTGAGAGGAAAAAGGACACAGACTTGAGTCACAGGAACCCCAGGACACAAGGGGAACCCGCGACGCCCACAGGCCCCACGAGAGAGAAGGAAGCAGCAAACAACGCCCAGCCCAGCCGGTGCAAGCAGGGCCCTCGCAAGGCCGGAGACGTCCGTCCCTCACAGCCCACGAGGGGGTCACCGTGCCCACAGACAGTCGGGCCAAGATCCTCTTTGGACACCAGCAGGGGGACAACGGCGCACTCCAGTTCTGACCCTAAACTCTAGCCAAGTCCCAGGTGTTCTCTGGGGCCAGGTCTGGGGGGGCACTGCTCGCCTGAGGGGGAAGGCCCCTCCTCTCTGGAGGCTCCTGGCCCAGACAGGGGATGTGTCCGAGCCCAGGCCCAGCTCCCCAGAGCAAGGCCATGCGACCCTCCTACCTGGGGATGGGGTCCTTCCAGTCGCCCCTCTTGTTGGCTTTCTTGGCCCTGGAGAACTCGCTCACCCAGACGCTGCCGAACAGGCCGAAGGCGACCCGCAGCCACAGCTCGGTGTCCCCTGCTCCGGCGCTTCCCAGGGGGCCAGGCGGCGGCGGGGTCGGGGAGGGCTGGGCAGAGACTTGCTGGCCATTGGCTCCCAGGGCTGGCTTCTGGTCCCCGGCCTCGTCCTTCCTTGCCCTCTTGTGGGGCGGCACTGGTGGGGGGCTGCCCCCGGAGGACCCTGTTTCTTCATCTGGATCAAATCTAAGGAATAATTTCTTCCCGTGGACCTGGAAAAAAATGAACATGGATCTGGCCCTCTGCTCTGGACTGCCCCCCCCCATGCCTATGTCAAAATTAACCCAATTGGATGCCATGAGGAGGTGGAACCGTGCGGGGTGATGATGTCGCGAGGACGGAGGTCACGAGTGGGGCTCGCCTTCGCTCTCTCCATCAAGGGAGGACACCGCAGGAAGCGGCCTCTGAGAACTAGAGAGACAGCTGTCACCAGACACCCCCGACTGCCTTCCCCTTGGACTTGCAGCCTCCAGAACCACCCGGAAGTCAGGCTGCAGGACTGAGGCTACGGGAGGGGGAGCGGAGGAGGGGGGCCCAGCGGGCTGTGGTGGAAACAGTGCTGGTGGCCGTGGCCACCTCCACCTCCAGAGCTGTGAGCCTGCCCCTAAGTCACATGCAGTGTGGTGACCCACGTTACTTCCAAACACACAACACGTATACGGGAAGGGTGTCCTGGCTGCTGCAGATCCTATTTCCATGCTGCGAGCACCGGGTGCGTCAAGGTCCTGTGGCCAGATTCCCGGGGGGCTTGCTGCAGGGTAAGTAAAGTATCAGGCTTTTCCGCCCTCCTGCCATTAGATTAAATGCATGCCCGATGGCAGGCACCTGGAGTGAGGTGTGGGCATGCTTAGGTGGGTACACCTGGGCTGAGACTGGGCTTAAGAGGGCGGCGCCATGAGGACGCCAGCAGAGCCAAAGGAGCAGAGAAGCAGAGGCCACGAAAGAAGGCCGGAGAGCCCAGGAAGAATGAAGCTACGCTGGGGGCTGGCAAGCCTGCCAGCCACCCGGCCCCCATGCACCCCTGCCTGCCGTGTACCTGGTAAATCCCAATAAAACCCTGAAAAAGCCACCGAGGGCTCCAAGACTCTCCTTTACTCCAATCACAGAAAACCTGCCCTGTGCCCTTCCTGCCACTAATCTTGTTCTGCAGGACCTGATGTTCAGGGGGTCTTTCAGAGAGTGAACCCCAGACATCTGGCAGCACCACCGCAAGCGCCTGACCACCAGCCACTGAGATCACAGTTTGGATCTCCAATCCAACCAATCTGTATAAATATTACACTGCAGCAGCAGGTGAGATCCTCTCCCCAAGAGGGTAATTCCAGGGTGACCGGTGGGCTGAGGACACTACCTGTCAGATGCCCCCGGAGAAACACCTGCCAGGGCAGAACCCACTGTCCTTGCTGCGTTCACTGTGCCCCGTGGCCCCTCGACCCTGGACACGTCCTACCTCGAGGGGTCCCTCACTGGGCGGGTACAGAGCGCGGCTCAGAGATGACAGGCTGCTCCCCTCCCCCCAAGAACTCAGCATTTCAGAGGCGGGGGTTTGGACATGCTCGGAGGTGAGCCGTGGAGAGCCAGACGCCAGGGGACACGGGGAGCACGACTCACGCCTGCCCCTGCCTGGAACAAAGTGGAGGGCCCTGCAGAGAGCAGGGGACCAGGGCGGCCAGGCTGGGGGTGGGGCGTGGGGAGCACCTGCTCATGGGCCTGTCGCTCCTTTCTGGGAGATCAAAAGCTCTAAATACAAAGTACAACTTTGGGTGAAGGCACGAAAAGCCAGTGAGTCAGCAGCTAGAGATCTTTTTAAATTGGGGGATTGATTAAAAGTCTAAATATGGAGAGGGGCTGCGTCCCTAGCTCCTCCCAAAGTAGGGCTGGAGGTCAGCTCTCAGCCGAGCAAGAACTCAGGCGTTCTCTACCCCGCACCCCGCCCAGACAATGAGAGCGCACCCGGGCCAGGGGTGTGACTGCTGCTGCCTCCCCTCTTCAACCCTCTGATTTCTGGGGACCTCAATACACTCAGCCACAAATCTGCATCTCGCAGTTTCCCTCAAGGATGGGGCGGCCAGTGAGATGTCTGCACCCATGGTCAAATGTGCATTCCAGAAAAGTTCTTTAAAAGGGTGAATGAGCCTCCAGGTCCCTTCTGCCTTTTCTCTCTCCCTGCTGAGAATGCAGATGTGATGGCTGGAATCCCAGCTGCCCTGCTGAAGCGGAAAAAGTCAGGCTGACCTGTTGATGAGCTGAAGCTGGGACACGGCCTGCGGACTGAAAGTTTCAGGGAACAGCAGACAAGAGCCCTCAAGGCCACCCGCCTGGTTCATGCATCCCAGCTGACGGGACCCCTACTTCAGACATCACAAAAATCAATATTTAGTTGTCTAATTGCTTGGGGCTCAGACTTTGGAGAGAGCTCTCCTCTGGGCCCCCCACCTGCGTAAATAAAGAACTTCCCTCCTCCTCTCTGAGTGCTGCCTGGTTCTCTGACAGAATCCTGTGGGACAGTGATCACCTGGGTGAAGGCCACACCCCCGGGAGGGGTGAGCAGAGGAAGGTCGCTGGCCACTGAGCTCCAGTGCTCCAAACCACCCTGGGGGGCTCCTGGGACTTCCCATCAAGACAAGGAAGACCCTTCCTGACTAGTACTCCCTGTTATGGGGACAGTCCCGTGTCTCAGGGGCAGGCTGGTTCTGAGAGTGTGTCCTTGGGGGATGGCGCACTCACCTGGGCGTCCTGGAGCCACAGGGACTGAAAGCTGGCAGGGTCAAGCTTCTTACTGCTCCCTCCTGTCCTGACCACCTGCTGCCCCACAAAGGGGGACACCAAACCATGATACCTCCGCACAGACGGGCCCTCGGGCATTCCTGCGGCAGGAGAGAAAGGCACTGACAGCTCCAGCCTACGTGGCCCAAGGTGGGGGTCAGAGGCAGCCTGGTCAGAGGCAGCCTGCCGGGGGACACCCTGTCCAGCCCCTCCCACCTTTCTCCACATGCACACACTTAGTAAGCACCACAGTGCACCTGGGCTCAGAGCCTGCTGCCCTGAGCTTCAAGCCCGTGGCGGCGCAAACCAGAGTTTTTCGATGTTTGTCTTGGAATTGCCAGTGCAGGACTGCCACGCCCGCCTCGCTCAGGACTTGACAAGCACGTCTTGCGCAGGCGGGGAAACAGGTGGTTAAGTAGTGCCCCGGGTACGGTGGGGAAACCCTGGAGCAGACATCTGAATGCCCCCCTCCCCAGGCTCTCTACAGGCTTGATGATTTGGGCAGGGAGAAATGGGGGGTCACAGACAACCCTGCCTCCGTGCCAAGGCGTGATCCCCCCGGCCGTCAGTTACCAGGGAGAGCTGGCGGCCAGAAGCCACATGCGCCTCTGCCTGCTCCCACCCGGGACTTGTCACTGTGCACCCGGACCGTGGCCCTGACTCATCTCCAGGTGCCCAAAGCCATCGGCGCCCACAGCCACTGCCAGCTTAGCTCCCTTTCAGGGGGAGACCTGGCGACCGAGCAGGCTGCAGGGCACAAAGACAGAGGCACCTCCCGCTCTGCGGGCAGGCCCTGAGTGGAGGCGCCCATGCGCAGGCCTCCCGGGCGGGAGCAGGCAGAGGCGCATGTGGCTTCGGCCGCCAGCTCTCCCTGGTAACTGACCGCCGCCGGGATCACGCCTGGGCACGGAGGCAGGGTTGTCTGTGACCCCCCATTTCTCCCTGCCCCAATCATCAAGCCTGCTGAGAGCCTGGGGGGGCATTCCGATGTCTGCCCCGGGGCTTCCCCACCCTGGACTGGGCTCCTCCCGCCGCCCACAGCGCGCGTCCGGGCGGGCGCTCCACCCCTGCGCGGGGTCCTCGGCCCCAGCCGGACTTCAGGCGCTCGAGGCCTGACCTTGCCGCTGACCTTGGCGTGACCCCCGCGCTCACGGCCGACCATCGCCCAGGCTGGGGCTGCTGGAAAATCCTCCCCCGAAGGGCGCCCAATCCCTAACACACGCCCGGTCCCCCCGGGGTTTCTGGGGCCGCCGGGGCCCCGGGGCCTGCAGGGGCAGCGGAGGGGGACCCCACGCAGCGCGCGCGGGCCGGGGCGCCCCGCCTCGACCTCCCCCGTCCTCCGGGGCGGGTGGGGCCGCAGGGCCGGCGCGGGGTCACGGGCCGCGGGGGGACGCCACAGAAGCGCACGAAGGGGTGCGGCGTCTACGAGACGCTTCCAGAAGGTTCTCGCGCGCGCTCCCACGCCGGCGCGCGAGGGGGCGACGAGGGGGCGCGCAGGGCGGGGAGAGCCCGGCCTCCGCGACGAGCTTCTGGGGCTCCCGGCACCCCCCGGCGCGCAGCTGCCCCCGCGCCCGCGGGCCTCGTCGGGGCCGCCGGCCACTCACCCGCGCCCGCCGCGCCTGCGCACGCGCCTGCGCCGGGAGGCCTCGGCGTCCGCTCGGGGCTCCGCACGGGGGTGGGGCTGGAGGCGGGGCTAGGCTAGGCTCCCGGGGGGGGGGGAGGCTGGGGCTAGGCTCCCGGGGGTGGGGATGGAGGCGGGGCTAGGCCCCCGGGGTGGGGCTGGAGGCGGGGCTAAGCTCCCGGGGTGGGCTGGAGGCGGGGCTAAGCTCCCGGGGGTGGGGCTGGAGGCGGGGCCCCTGCTGTGGGCGGGGCCCTCTGTCCTGGGAGGGGCGCCGGGCCGGTTCTTGGGTGTAGCCGGGTCGGGCCGCAGCCCTGAGCTGGGCCGAGCAGAGGGCCGGCCGGGAGAAAAGGCAGCTCCCCGGGCCGCCGGCTGTCCTCCTCCCGAGGGCAGTCCAGAGAAAGGGCGGTCAGTGCATAACCCGAGACTTTGGGGAGCCCAGGCCCGGGCCAGCCTTTCAGCTGGTTTTGCCCGGCCTCCCGGCCGACCCAGCGGGGCCGCTGAAAAGCCAGCAGGTTTTCAAGAACTTCTCAGGAAGCTTTCAAAGGGTGTTTTTTTGACCTTATATTATTTCAATATTGTTATTGGAAGTTTTGTGTTAAAAGCAGTATTTGTATATTAAATTTTTATTTTTTTTTTTTTTAAAGATTCATTTATTTATTTATACAAGCACTGGGTACAGTCAGAAGCGCGGGAGGGTGAGAGAATCCACCAGAGCCAGAGCGGGGAGCAGAGCAGGCAGAAGGACCGAAGTACACTGCTGAGGGGAGCAGCGGGCGGCAGGGGAGGTCTGCGCGCCATGTGGGACCCTCCTCCGGTGGCCGGGGAGCAGGAGGGATCCAGGCAAAAGATCTTCGCATTCCTGCCTCCCCCACACATGCCAGAACCACATCCCCACCCCTGGATGCCTCCCATTATAGGAGGGGCAGGGCCCCAAGGAAACATTTACAGGGCCCCTGAGCCTGTTCTGTAACTAGTTGGGGGGGGGCAGGCTTAGCCCCAACCCTGGCCTCACTTACTGGAATGAGGCCTCTGCTGAGCCAACGCGCTAGTTGAGAAGGCAGGTGGGTTGCAGGGGGCACCGGTGTCTCCTATAACTGCTGTGTGCAAGACTTGCTGGCCCCACAGAGATGTGGCCTGAGCATTACCCGCGGGAAGACAAGCCACAGCGTTGGCATGGGGCATCTTTCCACGGTGTTACGGAAATGTTACAAAGCAGGCATTTGAATCACCTGGCAAAGCTGGCAAGTCTTGTTTACATGCAGTGGCCATGCCTGGCTCTGCCCTTCCAGCAGCCCCATGCGGGAAGGAAGGGACTTGCCTGGGGGCAGGGACCCGGTACACCGTGCTTGGCAGCAGGGACACTCGGTATGTATTTGTTGAATGAAGGATTAAATACCAGCTGTGGAACACAACCTGTGGAGTGCTGCGCCAGCGCATGCTATCCTTGCTCTCTCGTGACATGGGGCTCTGCTGGAACAGGGCCAGCTCCTGGAAGAGTGACTCTGGAGAACAGCAGGGAAGATCTAGTCCCGCCTCGGACGACCTGGGTCCCATCTCAACAATCAGCAAGCAGAGCTTGGGCGAGTGACTGAATTTTTGCAACCTGGGTCTTTATCCATAAAAGGCAGCGAAGTGCCACCTTGCCGGCGGCTGTGGGATTTGTGGAGCTGATGCAGAGGGCCTGGCACACGGCAGTTGTTACTGTTCGCCTCCCCATGGATGGGGCCACTCAGGGTCCGCAGGCGCCTGGGGTCAGCTCCGCAGCGGGCCGCCGACCCACTTTCTGTGCTCCTTGCGGCCAATTCCTGCCTCTTCGTCGTGCCCCGATGGCCCCGGCAGGATTGAGATTATAGTGCACGCGGAGATGGGTTAAAACACAGCCTCCCCCAGACAGCGGGCAAAGGAGTGAAGGGCCGAGTGAGGAGTCCAGTGGCCAGGGAAAGCTGGGGGACTCTGAGCCACGCGGGCTGGGGTCCTGTCTCCAGCAGCCCTGAGAGAGGCTCTGGGGTCTGTGGCAAGTGGACGGCGCTCTCCAGTGTGTCCACGTCCTTCCTTAAGGAGTCTGAAAATGGGGAGAATATGGAACCCAGGAGTCGCCGGCCCGGGAAGAAGTCCAAAGTCTTCATCTGAGATGGAGACCGGGCTTGGGCTGCGTGGATTTTCTACGCTTTACGGTGGAGGCGGGAAGGGAGGAGGTGCAAGTCCATATTCTGGGGGCAAAGGGACAGGGTTTGAATCCTGCCCCTGCACTGTACTCTGAGACCTGCAGCGAGTCACACGCCATCCATGGGCCTCCCTCTGGTTGGGAGGATCAGACAGGCGGCCAATATTGCAATAAAGTCATGGCGTTTTTGCGCTCCCAGCACTTACACAGCTGTGTTTACACTGTATCGTGGCCTATGAACGCCACTGTAGCAGTAGCATGTCTAAAACACAATATTGCACACTATGCAAAAAATGCCACCTGAAAAATGCCAGCCCTCACCTGAGCCTGGGCTGAGCCAGAACCTTTCTGCTCTGGAAGGTCCCATAACAAGTGCGGTGTTACCCAGCACAGCAGTGACATGCTGGGGAAGTTTCCTGTGGACACACAGAGCCACGAGCAGGCCTGCCGCGCGGCGACCTGGTACTTTCCGCCCGCAGTTTCCGGGCTGGTCTCCTCTCGCTTGAAAACCTGGCTGCAGGCGGGGAGGCGGGAGCACGGGGCGCGGTGAGCAGCCCAACGGCGAGGACAGCACCTCTGGCCTCCCCAGCAGGGTGGTGCAGGCAGGGGCGGGGCAGGTCCCTGGATGAAGGTGGGCAGGAGGGCTGGGAGCAGAGGGTCTCAGGGACCCCTCGTGACCTGTAAGTGTCCAGCATGGTCTCACCATCCCGGTGTCCTTTTCCCTAGTGGGGTTCAGTTTGCTTCCTCTTCCAGAAAGACAAGTAAACTAAACCAAAACAAACCCAAGAAATCTGACTACAGAATTGAAGCTACCAGAAGGGGGTGGATGTGAGCAAAGGAGAGAGGAGACCCAAGGGTCCCGGGTGAAGGATTGTGGGGGCCTTCGGTGGCGGGTGTGGTGCGATAATGTTCATCTGAAGAGGTGTGAACCTGCACCCCAAAATCATAGTGTTGTAAACTAATGTTACTTTAATAAGCTATTTTATAAATGAAAAAAAGAGAATTGGAAGAGTCGATTTTCCAGTATCAGAAAATGTTTAAAAAAAAAAAACAAAAAACCCCACACCAACCCCCTCCACTTCAAAAGCAGCTTTCCAGACAGCGGTCTCTCACACACTCAGTATCCCAGTCGGCATGTCTAGTTCTGGGGGGCAGATCTCACCCAAATAATATTCACCCCAGTTCCCTTCGGTGCCTGTTAGGAGAACCTACTTCCTGTCAACCCAAGCCAGTCGCAACCTCAGCAAACCCGCGCTGGCCTTCCAACGCCCAACAGCTGGACTCCCCTTGCTCCTCACAGGCGAGGGGAGACTGTGATGGGCTGCGGGAGCCCCCACCGGGACACATGCGACTGGCCCCTTAGCGGCCAGACCTTTGTTCTAAGGGCCAGGCAACACTACCTGCTCCCCACCCGACCACTGCCCGACCCTCTGGGACTTGCCTCTTTTACCATATCCTATCCCAAGCGGCCGCCACCTGAAGCTAGATTTGGGGGAGCATGAAGATGGGGGGCGCAAAGGAAGGGGGAGCACAAGTCACAACGTCACGTCAGGAAAGAGCCAATCTTGAGAATGTGCCCTTGCTGAGGCTGCCATAAACCCCGCTGGCTGCTGTTGGCAGCTGGAGGCCTCTGGGCCTCGGCCTCTGGCGGGCAGCGACCCGGTGCGGCTGGGCAAGTCCTCAGTGGGTGAAAAGCTGCTGTGCTTTTCCAGGAAAGAATGGTGCTTGGGGTTTTTTTCTTACCTGCTCAAAAATAACAGGGCTTTTGTGAGGGCCAGAGACCCCTCGCAGGGGCCAGCTGGGAGGCCAAAAGCCAGAGGAACCGCTCCGAAGGGGGCCGACCTGCTTCCTGGTCCATTCCACAGGCTCGGGGCCAGGGGGCCTGGGGGCCAGTGTGTGCCGTCGCCCCACTGCTGCGCTGAGGCGGGTGAGCGAGACTCGCCCGAGAAGGTGAAGATAAACTGGATACACGGGAAGACGCTCCTCTTCCGTTGCTGAGGCTTGACTTGCCCCTTCGGGGCTTGCTTGGATGGAATCTGGAAGGAGAAATGGCAGGAACCCAGGGTCCCTGCTCGTGCCTGGCCACAAGGGCCCTGGTGAGCTGCTCCGGTCTCGACCCGTCAGGAGCAGCCGCCAAAACTGAACAGAGGAAAAGACAGGACGCAGCCTGCCCGGGTGGGCCGGGGCCTCGGGGGCCTGCAGGGGGAGCACGAGAGGCGGAGTAAAGACCTCGGGGAGGGGCGGGCGAAAGGAGTACAGATAAATTTATTAGTTAAATACTGATTTTACAACCATTTCACCTTAAGACAATGTTAACAGGTTTGTGGGTTAGGGGCGGTACATGAGGGTGGCCTTCATGGAAGAGAACAATGTACACGGTGATTAAAACAGAATCTGGGTTTAAGGATATTCTCTGCTACAGCCAGGAGGGCTTCTGGGTGGGGGTGGGTGTTCGGGGCAGGACTCAGTAAGGCCATCATCTGCCAAGGCTCTGCCGATGACAGGACACGAAGGAGGGGGTTGTCTTTGTGAGGCCTCAGCATCACAGGCAGAAACAGCAACATGGAGAAAAAGCCAATTCCAGAACATTCCAGAATAGCGCAGAGCTGGAGAGTCCTCAAGGCCCACGCTCAGTGTCTTATCAGTCCTTGTCTTTCTTTCCTTGAGTTTTGTTGGGTTTGTCTGCTTTGAATTCATGTTGCAAAATCCGGAGCTTTTTGCCTCCAGGACAAAAGACTTCTGCCGCAGAAGGCCGCGGTGCAGGTGCTGTCCGGCCAGGCACAGCTCCAGAGCCTGGGAACCCACGAGGTCCGAGTGCAGAGCCAGGGTCGGCGGACCTGCGCCCACATAGCACCGGCCCAGGGTCACGCTCGCTTTAGCGATGGACTCTTCATTCGGGCTCTCACTGGAATCCCTGTGCATGAGGGGGGCAGGAAGAGGGAGGATTGGGGGGTGCTTTTTGGCTGAAGTCGAACTTGTTTTGCTGAGGGGGGGCGGGTCACTCAGAACAGCGGAGGCGTTTTATCTCCGAGGCCTCAGGAGTGAAGGGGGGAGCGTGGGCATGAGGCCGTTAGCAGGGGAGGAACTCGCCGAGCCAGGCTGCCCGGGCCGGGCTGTGAGGGGGCGGAGTGGGCCGCTGCCCCCACCGAGCGGTCAGTTCACGGGCTATGCCCAGTGTTTGTGGAGTCGGGGTTGGGATGGAGGCCGCAGGGGAGCACCGAGTCCCAAGGGGAGTGCTGGGTTTCCAAGGGGCCTGTGGCACCCAAATGCTCGTCAAACAGATGCCTTGGCCCTGGCCCTGGCCCAGGCTGGAGCTGGGTCCCAGCCCCTCAGATTCCTGGCGCTGAACGCCATGGAGAAACCACCATCTTGGGCCTCAGCGGCGGGAAGGTCACGGAGAAGGACATCTTGCTGGGTGCAGAAATGAGAAAGAAGTCTCCGCGGAAGGCGCCTGGGCCACGGTGAAGGGCAGGCTCTCCCCATGGGAGTCCGACCCCTTCCCAGCCCCCACCTTGAGGAGTAGCCGATAAAGCCCCGCACCCACGTCCCCGACCCAATCTGTGACTTCAAGTTTCTTCCCAGTTGTTCTGGAGTCATTCCCAGACAGAGCAGGCCAGCCGCGGGAGCCAGCACCTCGGCTCTGCTGTCCTCCAAGTCCCAAGTCGCGCAGGAATCCAAGGAGGGCAGGCAGTGGCATTATGCAGTGATTATGTCCCCGTGACTGTCAGCCAAGGCCAGGCTGTTCCAAGGGTCCTGCTTGGAGCTGGCCTGTGGCGACTGGCTGACGGAAGACGCGTAGCCCTGTGGGGAGAGCTTCAGGGCCGAGAGCACCGGGTGGATGGAGGGCCCGTGGCCCGACATGGCACTGACCGAGAACGTCTGAAAGACAAGCACGAGGCGCTGGTCACTCCAAGGGCTCAGGGAGAGAGGCCTGGGTTGGAGGGATGTCCCACCCCGGGCTGCCACCACCCCAGGCAAAGGGAGCCAGGAGAGGCCTTGGCATGAAGGCAGGCTGGCCACACAGCACCTGTGCTATGCGACTCGGAGGCTGCCTGTGGCACAACCCACACTCGGCAGGGGCTCAGCAGGTCTGAGCACGTGCCTTCTGAAAGATGCCACCATTATAGGCGACCCTTCTGCAGCAGAGGGTGTCCTCCAGAGATGAGAACCACCCTCCTGGTTCTACAGGTTCGGCCTCTCTGTACCCCAACAGTAAAGCTCACTAGACAAGGCATCCCCCAGAACATGTGGAAAACACGTGGGAGTTAGAGGGAGACCCTGACCCAGCTTGGGCGCATCCTAATCTCACGTGGGGGCCACCGCTGGGGAAGCGGGTGGAGGAGCAGGGAGTGGGGGTGGGAGCACAGAGGGTCATTCTGTGGACTCACAGGAAAAATGGCATCCTGCCTGTGACGCACCCCCACCCCACGGTCCTCCGTGGTTTCCACACTGTTCCCAAGCCACCACCCCGCCGCTAATTCTAGACCAAGGCCAGCCAAAGCAGCCTCACTTGGGGCCTCACCTGTGAAGAACTGCTCGGCCTCCAGTGCCCCATCCCCCCTCCTCCAGGGTGGGCAGGCAGTGCCCCGCCATGAGCCAGCCCTGGCACCCCATGCCTCGGCTCCAGACATGGAGGAGCTGCTCTCCACGTGAGTGCGGACCCCTGCCTCGGGCCAGCCGCCCTCCGCCCGCCAGCAGAGGGTTGGGAGCCTCCCCAGCCGCGCCTGGGCCCTGCGCCCAGCCCACCTGTGACAGGGAGCTGCTGTGCCCGTAGTGGGCCGACAGCCCCGGCTCCGTCTTGATGGGGCGCATCTCTTCCCCGCTGCTGGCGGCCGCGCTGCTGGAGCTGCTGGAGGCGCTGCTGGTGGGGGGAAGGCTCTCGCCGCCCGAGGGACCTGGAACAGCAGGAGCGTCAGGGTGGGGCGGCCGTGGGAGCCGCGGGCTCCCTCCATGCGGAGCACACGTGTCAAACTGCATTTTTGAGAGGACAGGCCCACCCCTCTTCACCCCAAACCCTGAGGCCACACTCAGCGCCCAAGCGCGGGGTGTGAGGGGGGGATGGCGGCAGGGAGGGCGGCAAATCAGGCTCTCCATGAGCCACCGTGCAGTGGCTGGAGCCCCCGGGACGGGCAAGCGCCCTAAGCAGCCTCGTGCCAGTTCGGGTCAGGTTCTGCTGCGGATCTCAGCTCCCCAGTTGGGAACCCCAGAGGGGGCTGTGCTGGGGCACCGGTGCCCGGAGGCCCCATGACCGGGACACGGGGGACGTGAGCCGCGCCGAGCTGGGCTGACAAGCAGCCTAGAAGAGGCGGAGGGCACCGTGTTGGGCAGGGAAGCCCCAGGGAGCACTGCTGGCAGGCGCGGGGCTGGGTCTGGGGAGCAGAGCTCTGGTAGTGTTCTAGGTGGGGAAGGGGCGACTGCGGCCCGGTCTGCCCTGGGAGCTGAGGGTTGTTTCCCTGCGGGCCAGTTCTGGGGGAATCTCCTTCGGCCTTGTGCCGGACGGCTGCTCCTGCCGGGTCACAAGGGCCCCTCACTGTTTCTGGAAATCAAGGCGGCAGAGCCCAGAGCTGACAGAGTGGGGCCCTGAGGCTCAAGGCCTGCCGGCAGCCCTGTCTGACTCTGGTGAGGTCGCTGGCCTCTCCAAGCCTCGCTTGCTCATGAGTAAGATCAGGATAATAAATGGGGTGCCATGGGGTTAAGGATGGCCGAGCTAGTATTTGGGGAGGGGCCACAGGTCACTAACGCCACCTCGACTACCAATGACTCCGCTGTGAACGTGACGGAGGGGGGAACCCTGGGCTCCCACACTCCAGTTAGCCCAGAGACGTGAAGGGAACCGAGTTCTCAAGGGGTCGCAGTGCCCAAGGCGAGTGACGGAGCAACGTGTGTTGTCCTCTCGGCCAGGCCTCTGCTGGCCCTGCTGGTCCCCATGGCCCTTACAAGTGGCAATAACAGGCCCCAACCTGAGCTAAGCCTGTAAGCCAAGTCCACCCTTCACTTCCCTCGGGGTGTCCCTTGCGCACTGAGCAGCCGGGACTCTAACGCTACCTCCCCACCTGCACACCCAGCTGGGTGGCCCAGCCGGGAAACACGGTCCCCACCTCCCGGGCGGCTGTTGTCCACACAAGGCACACGGGTCGATTCCTACCTGCTGGCGTCTTGGATTTGTTAAGATTCTTGGGCTTCCGTTTTCTCGTCTGAATCCCCTCTTTCCGCATCGCCAGAGGCCTGGGGACCTGGGGGTCAGTACATGTGGTTGTCCACTTGCACACGATCTGCCTTGGCATTACAACACACAGATAACACCCCGGAAAAGCAACACCTAAGCTGCTCAGCTGCAGACTGCCGGGACGAGGGAATCAGCCCCGGAGCGCGTGCTGAGAAATCCTTCTACTAGAAGATGCACTAGAAGATGCGCCGTGCGCGGGGGCTGGAGACACAGCTCCTTCCCGGAGGCCACAGTGTCGTGGGGAAGACACATCGTGGAGCAAGACCGGACGGGTCCACGACGCAGGAGGCGGGAGAAGCGACCCTGAGCTGTCCAGTGTCGGGAGAGGGCGGGCCCGAGCCTGGGGGCTCTCTGTGGCGCGCAGGCAGGGGTGTCGGGCAGAGGCACGGGCACGCCAGGCTGCAGGGAGAGTGCACGCAAAGCCTTTGATTTATCACCCCCCCAAAAACACCGTGCGTGTGAAAGGGGTGAAACACACACAACGAACTGCCAATTTAGCCCTCGTGACACGCAGCTCGTGGGGTTGACCTATCACACTGTTGTGCCATCATCTCCACCATCCATCTCCAGAACTTCCCATCATCCCAAACTGCAACTCTGTCCCCAGGAAACACTGCCCGCAGCCCCAGCCACCCCCCTCCTACTCTCTGTCTATGCCCCCGACACTCCAGCGCCGTGCAGAGGAGGCCCGTCCCCTGGATACCGTCCTCAGGCTCGGCCACGTCACGGCAGCTGGCAGTGTCCCTCTCCTGCTGGTCCAGTACAGACGCACGCTGCTTAGCCACGCATCAGCGGGCACTGCGAGGGCGTCCACTTTGGCTATCGAGAGGAAAGCGGCCCTGGACACGGGTATCCGCGTGGGTCTCAGAGGCCTGCTTTCGACTCTCTGGATACAGTCCCAGAAGCGGGGCTGCTGGATCACGCGGCAATCCTATTTTTAGTTTCTGAGGACATAATCCTTTTAACACCTGCATAACACTGCTCGGTCAGTTTCTGGTTCCACTCCTGCTGAAGAGCAGTGTTTCCTTTAACCCTTGTCCTCCCGGGAGTTCCCTCCACCCATCTCCACTCCTCAGCGGAGGAGGCTCCGGACTGGAGCACAGAGCGCTCTGAGAAGCCCTGCGTCCTGACGCGCGGCTCAGCCTGTCCTGCCCCGAGGTGTCTTTGTCCATAAACCAGGACACAGTGTTATACATTAAGTAGCTCTAACTTGCCTTTCATGGCTTAAGAGTTTTGCAGACTTGCTTAAGAATCCTCCTTGGGCCTCCCCGGTGGCGCAGCGGTTGAGCGCTGGGTTGCGAAGCTGCCCGCAGCCTCTGCGGCACCGGTTCGATCCCCGGCTGCTCCCCGGCTCCCACTGGCTCCCCGCTCTGGCTCCCTGCCTGCTCTGCTCCCCGCTCTGGCTCTGGTGAATTCTCTCACCCTCCCATGCTTCTGGGAAGCTGTCAGCAGCCTCTGCAGCACGAGTTCAATCCCCGGCTAGGGAGTGGCCCACATGGCGCAGCAGACCTCTCCTGTCTCACCTACTGTGTATTTCAGTAGATCCACTTGTTCTGCTCCCCACTCTGTCTCTGGTGAATCCTCTCACCCCACACCTCTGGCCTGCACCCCGGCTCTTGTATGCGTAAATAAATAAATCTTAAAAAAAAAAAAAAAGTTCTCCTTCCATCTCTGAGCTTATAGAAATGCTTCCCCAGCCCATATTTTTTTAGTACTTTCCTTATCCCTATTTTAAAACGTCTGACATCTACACTGAGTATCTTTCGTTTGCCCACACTTATTTCTATTTGGGGCAGGAGGTGGAAGTCAGGCTTTGCTTCGGTTTTCCAGACTGTCCATACAATTATTCCTAAACACGTTTTCCTTTATCAGCTGAACAGAAACGTCACCTCCGCGGGCCCACGCCCCCTTACACAGACTGTCTCTGAGCCGCCTCATCTGTGAGACGAGCCAGCCTTCCGCGCGGCCCAGGCGGAAGTGAGCGGCGCGTCTCCGTGGTCGCCTGAGTGTCAGTGTCCCCCGCTCAGGCGGTGGAAGCCGATGCCCATGGGGCTGTGACTAGGTGGGCCTTTGGGGGTGAGTAGGTCAGTGGGGTGATGAGGCGATTCAAGAACAAGCCCCCGAGCCCCCTCCCTGGTTCCTGCGTGAGGACACACAGGGGGGTCTGCGGCCCCGGCGTGCTGGCTCCCGCCCTGCTGGCTCCGGCCCTGGACTTGCGCCCCGAGGGCGGGCACGTTCCCTTGGCTGAAGCTGCCAGGCTGTGTTCTCTGCAGACCAGTGCAGCCTCCACGGTCCCTTCCCGATGGACCTCTATGTGGAGAAGAACCACCTGTGGTCTCCATGGAGGACACGGGCGAGGGCTGTGTGGGACGCGGCCGCTTACCCCGTGGAGCTTCATGTAGAGGCCGCAGGCATTGCACACGGGCTCGCCCTCGGCGTTGCGGCGCCACAGTGTCGTGGTGGTGGTCTGGCAGTTGGCACAGGACAGGCCCACGCGGCGGGAAGCAGACTGCAACACAAGACAAGCTTCAGTGAGTGGGGGCCCCGCTGCTTCTGGGGTGGCGGGGCCGAGCCCCGCAGGGGTGTCTCTCAGCGGCCCCGGCCCCACACCTGGTACCTAAGCCACCAGGGTGAGGAGAAGCAGGACCTGTGCTGCCCCGGGGGAGCGAGAATTCTCGTCCTGCAGTGGACGCTGGTGACACTGGGCACCGAGGCAGAAGGGTACCCAGTGCCACCCGGGTGGATGGGCACAGGCCCTCAGGCACTGGACGGGCCCTGGGGCCTCACAAGAGGGAGGCACCGACCACTCTCTCGCCCCCCTGCTGAGGATGTGACCACTGGTTGGCGTTGATCCCAATCAGAGGGTGGTAGGAAGGAGCCCAAGTCCAGAGCCGGCGACTCCTCCCCATTCTCCTGAGGTGCTGGCCCCCCCGACCCCCCCACCCGGGCCCCGTGCCGCTCAGAGCTGAGTCAGGGAAGTCTGGACTCTGGCTGGGTGTGGGGACTTGGCGCCTGTGGGACCCTGGCATGGCCCTTAGCTTTTCTGGGTTCAGTTCCCTTCTGTGCAAGTAACAGGCTGAACCAAAAGGGCCAGGCCCTCCTGCAGCTGAAGCTAACCCGTCCCCACCCCCTCAACCTGGACCCTCTTTCAACGGTGGCCTGACTGCAACATTCAACACCAGAGCAGGCCCGGGGGGCAGGCCGGGCTCTCACGGACGAGGCCCCGCTTACCAGCCGGCGCTGGGGCTTGATGAGGGGCCGGTTGATGCCGTTCATCTTGTGGTAGAGGCCGCAGGCGTTGCACAGGTAGTGCCCCGTCCCGTCCCGCCTCCAGAGCGGAGTGGACATGGCCCCGCAGTTGACGCACTCTCTGCCTTCCGAGAAGTCATCGAACATATCTACTGGGGGAGAACAGAGGGTTATTCTGCGTTTGTCAAAGAATCTGGAAACCATGGAAATCGGACCCTCCCGGGCATGAGGACGGGTTGGGTCAGCGGGCCGTCGGGGCTGGGCACCCTGATGCGTGGGCTCCGCAGGGGCACCAGCAAAGGACGAGGTGGGGCAGCGACCAGCCGCCAACCCCACCTGCCCCGGAGCCTGAGCCCGAGGCGCCCCGACGCTACGTTCCCCGCAACACTGTGACCTCTTCTTCCCATTTCAAAACTGAAATTCTTTGCCTCTTGGAATGAAAACAGAATGAGTGTTTACTTCAGGAAAGTCAGGATACTGGAAGGTGCAAATAAAATCGGCCAACGTGATCCAGTGTGGACGCTCTGTTCCATGACATCCTTCACGACACTATACTGACACATATTTTTGCCTTGTTGGGGTCAAACTCTGTAATTTTGAGTCTTTTTTTCCCCCCACTTAATAACAAAGCACTTCCCAGCATGAGAAAGTATCTTAGCGAAGCGCAGCATCTCATCTCGTAACGCGCCACCCTTCCAACTACGTCATTCAGCTTTTACTCGGTCTCACCCAGGGTCTGAGCTGTGTCTGAAACACTGCTGCCCGCGTACCCACATGCTGGCGTGTCTGCATAGTCCTTGGGCTACCCCCTGGCAGCAGAATCACTGAGTCAAAGGACTACATTAAAAGAAAATGCATTGTTCAAGCTGCTTTGCAAGAAAAGGGGGTAACGCATGTCTCTTTTGCATACACCTGCAGGAGGTGCTGAGTGACGGTCTGGCTCTTTTTTTGGCTTTTTGGGACATAAAAGAAAAGTGCATGTTGGGAGTCCTGGCTGCGTGCCGACGAGCGCACCTCAGAAGCCTCCGGCGCCTGCCCCCTTCTCTTATTCAGCCTCCCCCACCTTTACAGTCACAAGCTCCACTCAGTCCCTTGGGCGGTCCCGTGAGAGAGGCTGGGACCCTTGGCCTGTTCCTACCGCGAGCTACAGAAGCTTGGCTCAGAACTTCCAGTGGCTGCCTCCTCTTTTGAAAAAACACTTCTAGCCCTTCCAAGTTTTCTGTCCCTAACTTTCTGTCCCAGTGTCCAGATGGCTCTTATTCCACTGCCAGAGCCACCGTGGATTCTTCTCAAGTAGAGGGGGCAGATATTTGGGGTGGGGATTGAGCGCATTCCTTCCATGGGGACTCAGCCCTCTGCAATCAGGTTGTGAGCTGGAGACAAGGATGGTGGGGGGCCGCCCCCAACTCTGGGTACACAAACAGTCATTTGCACCTGCAAACAAGTAGCTGTGAGTCAACACACGCAGGTGTGAGGGGCTGTTTGCGCAGACCAGGGAGCTGAGCACACACGTCATAGGCTATTTTTGCAACTGGGTCACACTGGGCGCCCTGCAGCAAGGTCACCTGCCCTCAGAGCCGCAAGGAAATGGCGACAATGTCTACTCAGTTCCCCCGGAGGAGGTAGGGGGAGGTACAGCGAGATCACAACCCGGACCCCACCGTGGCCACCCCCATGGCCCTCTGGGGTCAGCCTTAGGCCATCCCTAACTGGGGGGGCTGGGGGCGGCGTGCTGGCTGGGTCGTGCCCTTGTTGCATGTTGCTCGGACACTAGGTGGCACTGCAGCCTCAAAATGGAAGGTGCCCGGCGCTGGCGGACCGGTGGGGAGACCCTGGGATCCTCCTCCCAGCGCCTCTTCACTCTGGAGACAGGTGAGCGCACCCAAAGGACAGAACCTAGTAATCGTCGGCCGCCACCTAGCGGCCTGGTTTGGAGGCCGCCTCCCCGCCTCCCCTGCAGACAGGCTTTTTGTTGCTCACAAACACCCCAGCGCACAGCTCGCACGCATGAAGACCCACACTCTCCCCCTTTCAAGGGGACTGGACTCCTCTCCGGAGTGGCCGACTCGGCTAGGCTCCCTCTTCCATGAAGTGTCATCCCGGCCCCCAGCCTCAGCCTGGAGACCCCAGCCAGTGCCCCAGAAGCACCTCCGCTGTCTCGGAGAGAGGGGCCACACACTCATGCAGCGATTTCACTCGTGAGGAAAGGCTCGGGGTGGCAGACGCGATCACCGACAGACGCTCGCAGGCACCTGCTCTGGAGGCCGCGGCAGCCGGGGGGAGCTGGCGTGCAGGGCACCAAAGACCGAACTGGGCATAGTGGGCCGGAAGGGAGCACCTGAGCCAGGTGGGGACTCAGGGTGCTGACAGCAGGGCTCTAGGGCAGGAGGCAGGGAAGAGCCCAGGGGAGGATCAGGTGGGAAGCAGCTGGGAGTTCTGGATGGAGGTCAAGGCCACGCTCCCTGCAGGTCCCAGGCAGACACCGTGTGCCCCACAGCCCCCACACCCCAAGTCTGCACCAGTCTGCACCCTTTCTACGAAAGAAATCCTGCCATCCAACCTATTCAGTGGTTATCACCGTTTTAAAGGAGGAGGAGCAGGCGGGTGGGGGAGACCCTCTTCAGAAAGGGCTATTTTGTGGGACGCAGCGGGCAAGCGCTTGCACCCCCGGAAGGCCAGGACCGGGAGGGCGCTGACGCCGGCACACAGACTTCTCTCTTCTAGAAAACACCGTTCTGTAATGTCTTCATTGCCTATTTAGAAAATTCTGACACAAACTATATAAAAACAAAACCACTCTGATGGCCCCACCTAAGGGGGGGAGCCTTCTCCTCTGACACTTGACAGTTTCTCCCCTTGGACTGAAGAAAGGAGAGAACAAAGTTCACGCCGGGCTACTCAGCACTCACACTGGGGAAAGGCGAGGCCACAGGCGGGGAGCCCTGGAGGAGCACCCACTTTTGGCCCATACAGGGAAGGACGACCTTTCTCCTTCATTGGAAATGCCCTGGGTGGGACTTCCGGCTCCAGGGACGGCGAAAGGCTGGGGCGAAAGGCCAGAAAGGTCTGGTGCTGCGGAAGGGCGGGCTGGGCCTGGACTGAGGAAACAGCCCTGGCAAGCTGGGCCTTCTGGGCCTCCTGGGCCTCCAGAGCTGGTGCGGCCACTTCTCAGGCAGTGGGAACCCAGCACTGGGAGGGGGGGTCAGCTCACCCCACATTCAGAGGAAAGACTTGTGATAATAGCTGTAAAGTACTTCGCAAATAAGAGGAAAAACTCCCAACAATGGCTGTGAAGTGCTCTGCAAACAGGGCGGCCCGATAACAGTGATGGATTATTGTGATGGTGGAGGAGAGGGCCTGGGACAGACCCGGCGGCTGCAGGGGAGGGCGCCTGGAGCAGTCAGGCACCTGGCCTTTCCTCCCACACGTCTCTCGGGACAGCCAGGATGCGTGGTGCAGGCAGGGACAGGCTGGCAGCATGGGCGAGGCTCAGAGCTGCTGCTCAGGAGAAGCCCAGATGGGTGATGATTTCAGCAACGAAGAGCAAGAAACGGAACTGCAGCCCTCCCCCAAGAGCGGGCACCTGACTCATTTCCATCCATGCCCCATCGACAGTCTTCTGAAGGAGGGAGACAAACTCGGCCTGACTTTACAGGCACGCTCGCGCAGCCAGTCCAAGAATGAAGGCAGACGTGCCCCTGAGCGCCTGGACCAATGCTGTGGGCCAGGAGGTGGGGGACCCCGCGCCACCCCCTGGTGACCTGGCACAGTGCAAGGCAGAGACGTGACCTCGCCCTGACCTGTCCATCCATCTTGGAGGGCCCACCCACAGGCCAGGTGAGGAGTCAGGGGTGGGAGGAGGCCAGAGAGAGAAATCGAGAGGGGAAAAGAGACCGCAGAGGCGGGAGGCCCCACAGGCCAGGATGGTGCTGGGCACTGCCCCAAAGCTGTGTTTGTCTCCCTGGACGAACCGGAAGCCGGAGCGAGCTCAGGCTGGTGCTTGTGACCACGCGTGTGCCGGGCCAGGCCACAGAGCTGGGGTGCCTCTGGGGGGCTTCTGCCACCCGGGGAAGCCCCCTGAGAGCCTGCTGGAGCTGCTGGACTAGCCTGGCAGCAAGTGCTGGACACAGAGGCCAGTTAGACAGAACTGGGCCAATCCCGGTCTAACACTGTTTTGGTTTCGCGGCAGAGACCACTCAGAACAAATAATGACATTCATGTGACAAAGCGCAGTGGCGCCTGGGCTTTCTCAAGCGTCCCCCTCCCCAGCTGCACAGCCTGCGGAGGGGGAAGGCTCCCCAGTCCCAGAAACTGTTCACGGGCCGAGCAGCTTTCTGGGGCGCAGACCAGCCCAGGCCTGGGCAGAGATCTCCCCCAGCACCCAGCAAAGGGGCTTAGAACAAAGTCCCTGGCCCCACCCGCCTGTCCCTCGCTGAACTCCAGCCGGAGTCCCATCCAAAGTTCACCGAGATTGTGCGTGGATTTCCTGACAGGCCCGAATCCGGCCCGGGGTTGGCGCCTCGGCCTGGGGCATGAGGAGCAAACAAATCCTGGGGTTTTCTGGCAGCCCCCGAGCCCGGGTCTTCTGGGCTTTGTCAGGCTTGGCCGTGACAGACGCTCCCGGGGCTGACGGGGATCAGAGCGCCTATTTTGGAAACTCCTGCAGCCGCAGAGCAGAGGGAGTTCAGCAGGAGCTGGCGCTCGAGCCAGGCCCTGCTCGGGCCCTGAAGAAGCAAGCTGAGGCCTGGGCCGGCCCTTTCAGGAAGGCATTTTTAGGAAGCTGAAGATAAACTGCATGAAACAGCACCCTGCGGCTCTTCCCAGCCCTCGCGGGGTACCTGCTCTCCTCCAGGTGCCTGTAATCACACTGGGAGCAAACGCCCGCCCGCTGGGCGCCACTCTCTGGCTTTGGGTAAAGAGCGAGGCTCAGGTTTAAAAAAAAAAAACCCACAAACAAGTAAGGACGTTCTGAAAGGGAGGGGAACATGAAGAATGAGATGGGGGCTGAGGGAGGAGAAGAGAGAGAAGGGACAAGAGGCAGTCCAAGCAAGGCAGCGGGGAGGCAAGCAAGGGCCCAGAGCCAGGCTGTGCTCACCCCGGGGGCCACGGTCACGCAGGGAAGGGGGCTGGGCTGGGGCGGCGGCCGGTGCTA